CCAGATGCCCGAGTTACCAGAGCTTGCTCGGCAACACTAACGCCATACGAACTTTTGTTGCTGTCTTTACCGGTCTCCCCATAGCATTAAAAAATGTCATGTCGCTAAAGTCCCTCAAAATGTCGTCGTTTTTACGAAGCAAAATGACGTTTCAGTTGACTTCAAAAAGACATCTTGACCGGCATATGGCTTGCCAATGTTCATTTTTTGTAGTTTTCATCCCACACAGTTCAACAAAAGTGAACCCTCGGATTCTGAAGTCCGTTTCTGAAGGGATCAATATGTATTCAGCATGCTAGACCTTCCGTGATATCCTGTTCAAACACAACTATGCTTAGTCCCGATGGCGCGATTAGTAGTAGTGGAACTGGACACCGATGAAAGAGAAAAAATGCTTTAGCTGGTCGAGGCGGCTTTGAATGAGGGAAATGTTAATGTCAACAACCACGTTTGATACCTTAAGGTTCATGAACAGTTCGGGATAATATCTTCCTTTTCCTTACTTTCTCTTCAGATTTACGGCACTGGACCGGAAAGGATTTCGTATGGCGTTAGTGTTGCCGAGCAAGCTCTGGTAACTCGGGCATCTGGACACTCAATTGGTCTCGCAACGACAACGCGCATCCTACTGTAAGAGAGCAACGAGGGTCGCAGAGAGGAGAATTGGGGATTGGAAAAGGAGGTTGATGAGAACGAAAGGTTAGAGAGCGGTCGCGTGTTGGGCACTGATGAAACATTTGGTCTATTGGTATCTTATTTGTGTTGGGTTTGCGGCCTATCAATAAAATATCGACTGTAACTGTGGGATTACAGGGTCATGTCAACCCAAAATAGCAGAAAAAATTTCCCGACCTCTTTTATATTTAGTCCATACCCGACGTGTGTGCAAAATTTAAAGAAAATCTGAGCGTAGCACTTGGAGTACTTCCCCTGTGAATATAGAAATTTTATTTGCGGAAATAAATTAGGTTTTGGGATGACAAAACGGTTGTATGTTCCCTAGATGGCACCAACATCGGCCTTCTTGTAGATGCAAACCTTGCCATCGCCATCTTGTCCCTGTTTGTAAGAGGCCACTCCAACTGGCTCAACACTGTTGTTGTTGACTCCTTTGAAGTTCTCACAAGCCACGCCGCCGGCTGGGATTTTCACATTCGTGAGGGTTGCAGTGTCGCCGTAATTACCGTTGACACCGGCAAGGACCTTCATCTTTCCAGAAACGGTGACGCCATCCATGACGACGTGACGATCAAATCCATTGTATTTGCAGTTTCCGCAAGAACGGTAGAGCTTTCCGATGTCTTGGGCCTAAATGAAAAGAATTAGGCTTGCAAAAAGATTTTGACAAAAACTAAGTCAAAGAGTTATTTGACAGTCTTGAACTCCTCTCCAACCTACATCAAAGTTCTTGATGGTAACAGTGCCGCCTCCGTTGTGTTGGAAGACCTTGTCATCAGCTTTCTTTGCTCCTCCGCCGATGATGTTGTACTTGTCTGAAGCCTTGCCTTTGAAAGTAGCGGCATCTTCTCCAACATCCTCCCAGAAGACGTTTGTGATGTCACAAGATCCCAAGCAGTGGATACCATCGGCTGCGGGGGCTCCAATCACAACATTCTTGATAGAAGCTCCTGCTTCAAGTTCAAAGATGGGGTCTTGTCCTTCTTCTTGGTCACCACCGCCCCAGCCGCTGACAAATCGCTGGTTCTTTCCGTCGAAGACTTGACCGGCTTTAATCACCATCTTCTTTGGGACTTTAGTCGACCCAGAAGGGTTGGGCCAAGCAGCGGAATCGACCGCTACAACTGAGAATGCCAAAACGGCAAGGGAGAGCATGGCCATCTTAGATACCTGATATCAAATTGATGAATAACCAAAAATTTGGGGGCTTTTATACAGTGCTGTAAAAAAGCATGGCCGGCTAAAGTCACATAATTGGCATGTTGACTTAGCTGGATTGGTGGGTGAAACACTGAGGGCATTTTTGAATAACCACGGAACGTTTACAGATGGTCCAATAGGAACGTTTCAAAGCGGGTTGATAATAAACAGCTATCGAGACGCAAGCGGAACTGAATATGGTTATGTTTGAACAGGATATCACGGAAGGTCTAGTATGCTGGAAACAGATTGATCCCTTCAGAGACGGACGGTTCGCTTACTTGTGAACTGTTTGGGGTGAATACTACAGAAAATGAACTTTTGCGAGCCGTTTGTCGGGTAAGATGTCTTTTTGAAATCAATGGGAACACCTTTTTGCTCAATAAAAATTTTTCCAGGCACTTTTACGAGATGACAATTTTTAGTAGAAGAAACCGATGAAGACGGTTCTCCGGAATTGGACACCGATGAAAGAGAAGAAATGCTTTAGCTGGTCGAGGCTGTTTGAATGAGGGAAATGTTAATGTCAACAACCACATTTGATACCTTCAGGTTCATGAACAGTTTGGGATAGTATGTCCCTTTTCTTACCGCTTCTTCATGTTTACAGCACCGAGACTGCAACAGAAGTTCGTATGGCGTTAGTGTTGCCAAATGAACTATGAACTGTGGTAACTCGGACATCTGGACACTCAATTGGTCTCGCAACGACAATGCGCATCCTACTGTAAGAGAGCAACGAGGGTAGCAGAGAGGAGAATTGGGGATTGGAAAAGGAGGCTGATGAGAACGAAAGGTTAGAGAGCGGTCGCGTGTTGGGCACTGATGAAACATTTGGTCTATTGGTATCTTATTTGTGTTGGGTTTGCGGCCTATCAATAAAATCTCGACTGTAACTGTGGCATTCTAGGTTTCATGTCAAACCAAGACAGAAAAAGGGCCCATCCCCTTTTTGGTGATTCGTTCACCAAGAAATGTCACTATCGAGAAAAAGTATTCCTATCTTTGTTCTTGCTTCTCGAGAAGGATCATTTCTTTCGGGCAAAAAATACACCGATAATTCTGTGACATTCCGCAGGTTCGAAGCGGTTCAGGAAATGCGCTTCATTGACGTGCGCTTGAAGTCTATCAGTAGGGAGGTTGTGCCGCTAATACCTGTGAAACTAGACGGACCCGGAATCGTTTGAAGAAAGGACACGGCAACCCAAAATAGAAAAAAATGTTTCCCGCCCACTTTTGAGTTTCGTCCAAACGAAGTGCCAAAATTGACAAGAGAAATAAAATAATTCCGAGAAAAATATTTTTCGGTCGCAAGATCGCACGAAAAATTCGTTTGTGGCATTTCGTTTGATTTCAACCGATACAAAATGGGCGAGGCCTCGAAATGAGCCAGGAAACACTTCGGGTTGCCGTGCACTGGGTTTTATGAAAACGGACAACAAGAGGGCGATTAAAAACTTGTAATGAGTCTATAAATTTTATTTACGCAAATAAATTAGCTTTTTGGGATGGCCAAACAGTTGTATGTTCCCTAGATGGCACCAACATCAGCCTTCTTGTAGATGCAAACCTTGCCATCGCCATCTTGTCCCTGTTTGTAAGAGGCCACTCCAACTGGCTCAACACTGTTGTTGTTGACTCCTTTGAAGTTCTCACAAGCCACGCCGCCGGCTGGGATTTTCACATTCGTGAGGGTTGCAGTGTCGCCGTAATTACCGTTGACACCGGCGAGGACCTTCATCTTTCCAGAAACGGTGACGCCATCCATAACGACGTGACGGTCAAATCCATTGTATTTGCAGTTTCCGCAAGATCGGTAGAGCTTTCCGATGTCTTGGGCCTAAATGTAAGGAATTAAGGTTGCAAACAGATTTCGGAAAAAATTAAAGTATTTTGAAAGTCTTGAACTCTTCTTCAACCTACATCAAAGTTCTTGATGGTAACAGTGCCGCCTCCGTTGTGTTGGAAGACCTTGTCATCAGCTTTCTTTGCTCCTCCGCCGATGATGTTGTACTTGTCTGAAGCCTTGCCTTTGAAAGTAGCGGCATCTTCTCCAACATCCTCCCAGAAGACGTTTGTGATGTCACAAGATCCCAAACAGTGGATACCATCGGCTGCGGGGGCTCCAATGACAACATTCTTGATCGAAGCTCCTGCTTCAAGTTCAAAGATGGGGTCTTGTCCTTCTTCTTGGTCACCACCGCCCCAGCCGCTGACAAATCGCTGGTTCTTTCCGTCGAAGACTTGACCGGCTTTAATCACCATCTTCTTTGGGACTTTGGTTGACCCAGAAGGGTTGGGCCAAGCAGCGGAATCGACCGCTACAACTGAGAATGCCAAAACGGCAAGGGAGAACAAGGCCATCTTTGATACCTGATATGATGAATAACCAAAAATTTGTGAGCTTTTATACGGTGTTGTAAGAAGTTACCGCCGGCTAAAGTCACATATTTGGCATGTTGATTCAGCTGGATTTGTGGGTGAAACACTGAGTGCACTTTAGAATAACCACGGAAAGTCCACAGATGGTCCAATAAGAACGTTTTCAAAGCGGGTTAATCAGCTATCGAGACGCCAGCGGAAAATTCAGCGGAAGGAAAAATATATGTTCTATTTGAACAGCCGATACCTCGGAAGGCCTAGGATGTGGATACATACCGATCCCTTCAGGACTTGAGGATTCGTTCTGTTGTGAACTGTTTGAGGCGAATACTACGGAAAATGAACAATGCTGTTTAATAAGATATCTTCCTGGAGACTGGGCAGGTCAGGTCTTTTTGCTTTCCTCAGTCGAACCGACGACATTTTCAGCGATTCTGGCGACGTATATGACTGTCGCGTCGCGTATTGACGGTGAACCAGCGGCTTTAATGTGCCCTAGAGTTCTCTTGACTTTTACTTTGCTTTCCGAGTATCCCGTCACCGTTACAGCCTTGTTGTTAGAAACTTGAGCGTTGGGGCATAAAACGAACTTAAACTTGATTTGTCAGTTCCGAAAAAGCCCAGTTCACATTAGTGGTATTCCCAACAGAAGTGGGAAATATTACGCTAGAACCAACAAAATTGTTACTATTTTTATTTTATTTTTATTTCTTCTATCATCAATGTCAGCAATTCTTAAATCAGCTCTTTGATTCTCTCTGCGACATTGAGAACACCTTGTCATTTGTTTTGTCTTCCCTTCCTGACAGAAACTCCTTTAGTAATGTCACGAACTTTCGACGGTAACAGGGTAGGAAGTGGAAGATCAACAGAGCACTAGCCAAAGGCATTAAGCTGTTGAAAATGCTGACAGCAATTGCGTTGTACCTGCGAGGGAGTTGCAACACGTACCTGTTTAAGGCAGTCAACAAGGGTGGGATGAATGAAGCGCAGAAGGGAAAGGCGCCCTGGAAATTATTTTTTATAAGATTTTACTAATCAACAAGCTCTTCAGAGAAAAATAAAACTCAAAACTACCATGTAGACCATTAGACTGTTGAATCTGAAGTTAAATTGAAGTGTCGTTGAACTCATCCTGGCCTTGAGTTCATGGAATTTGTTAAATGTTTGATGGGCGCAGTATACCATTATGAGATAATAGATCACTTTTAATGAACAAAGTGCTGTGTAGAATGCGACGTATGCGGTGGAATTCTGGAAACAATGTACTTAAACTAGTGTAAAGTGGTCAGAATGCACTGATAGCAGCGAACCTCGGCAGAGAAGCCTGGCAAAGGAACGTGTTTGATTCTCAGTTTGTGTCTTAACGAAAATACAAAGGATTGGGCCGTTTTAGTTTCCACACCGGTTGTAAACCTAACACTCTAACACTCTAAACCTATCCACTCGACCAACCGAACCACTGGATGCTCCTCTTCTTTTCCGAGAGAAGAGAAAGAGGAAATTTTTTCGGAACTTTCGGTCGGTTTTTCTCGTCGGCCGTGCTTATTTTGCAGCTGGAAATTGCCTTTTTCTACCAAAGTCGAGCTGCTCTATCCACCTGTACTAGTCATTTTCCTAAACGCTGGGGGAAGTTCAGACCATTCCCTTGTAAGAAATTTGCAAGGCGTCCCTGCTACAAGAACGCTTCCCTTATACAACTAAAAATGGACCCAAGAACTTCATCTTACCGAATCCACAGCCGTATATGGCGTATCCGCTGCCTCTGCAACTCCCAGCGCCAGCAAACGTTTTAGGTACCGTTCCAACCGGCTGTTAATGTCAAAGCAAAAAAAGTAAAGGCAACCGGTGATAAAGTTAATTAGCACTAATAGGAAGAGGAACCCGAAGATTTTTTTAGTGCTAAAGCCGTCCTTTTGGCAAAAAATCGCCCATCGAAATACGAAGCACACCACAATTGCGGAAGTACAATTGTGGAGACAAAAGAACCAAACGTGTGTAATAATCAACGAGATGGTAGAGTTGATTCCGCTGGGAAGTCCCTTGTTGAAGTTGAAGGACAAATTCTCAATGAAATAGACCGTCTGAAAATGTAACAGTACTAAATATATTAAAGCAACCTCCAAGCAGTCAAGGGTTTATTTTTAATAACCATCAAAGAAATCCCCCTCCGAGAGGTCTCTGGAAGTCCGCAAAGTCGTATTCTTATACTTACCAGCACAGTAACCGTGTTAGCAGCGCTGAAAATTGCGTGGAAACTGCAACTTATGATAGTACATACTTGATACTTCTTCATAGGATAACCGCATTTATAGACGGTCAAATAAATCAAAATTAGATTCAGCAAAATTGATGAAGCATTAATTAGGTACACGGTTAGAACATGCCCGTCAATATACATGGCAACCGAACGGGGTTAATGGCAATTGGAAAGCATCCTTCCAAGAAGAATGACTTATTGTTAGAGTCAATTGCTCGCACCGCGATACAAAATGAATGCATGGAGGCGTTTAAGAGTACAAACAGAAAAAGGACTTAAAATGGCAGAACCATCTACAAAAAAATGTCGATTATATCCGACTTTTGGTCGTATCGGCCGTACGTATGTGTATTGTGAAGTCGAAACCTTAGACATGACAAATTTGTGAATTGAATGTCACATTACTTGACTCAGGAAAGCTGCAAGGAGTATGTGCAATGAACTTACACATTTTTTTATTTACATATTATGTAGTCTTCTTGTAGGCCGTAGGTATCGATAAATAAAAAAAAAGAAACGCAGGAAATTTATAGAAACATTTTTGATGACTTTATTATAACAAAAGAACCTCATAGATAGACATTCTTATGTTTCAAGCTGAACACAAACACCGAGCTAACAGACGCCCGCATTCTGTTATAAAGCCGGTGGTAAAAGCACAACACATCCATTGAAGGCACTTCTCTTGTGGCCGCTTGCATCTGTCCTCCTCGATGAGCTCATTCTTATAAAGCTTCAAGTTTAGTGGAATGTCACTGAACGGAAATAACAAGTAATAAAATTAACAAGAAATGGAGCTAAATTAAGAGGTGAAAACATACAATACATGGTTCTTCTTGTGATTTACCGACAAACCTTCCGTCTTGAAAGGTACAAATGACGCGTTTGAGTTCTCCATTTGAAGGAGTTGGAATGGGGCAATTGATCGACGATTTGTGTGTGCGAGGATGCTATTACCAAACGGCAAATTTAATGCAGAGAAAAAGGGTGATCGTTGCAATAAATTTGATTATGACCAAATGGACTTACGCGTTTTCTAGCAATTTCCGCGATTGCGTTCGAGCCATATCTTGACCGTTACAAATCACCGTCGGAAAACTGATTGATCAAGGGTCGGAATTGTCTAAATACTGCGTAGGCCAACCCTCTAAATGGCTTACACACTCTGTTAGACCTGAAACCTAAACTCGGCGGAAAGATGACCTGACTTAACGACATCCAAAGCATCTGTTTTAATGTTGAAGTACATAATGGTAGAAAACTAAACCATCCACCGTGGTGAAAAAAGTGGAGAGATGACAAAGTTCTGTCTACCGGCGCAAATTCCAAACCCTAGTCTCCTTAGCGGTCAAAACTCGAGGGCATTCTGGCAGATTTTGATTCGTTGCCGGGTGGAAATATCCAAGATCCGGTCAGCGGCTTGTTAAATGATTCGACGGGCCGGTCCGTAGTGGTCTGTGATGTCTGGTTGTACTCTGAACGTACGCTATACACTCAAGAAATGCTACAATTTTTGTAGAAATCGCCTCCTCGTTCGATTATAACAATCTATGTGCACATCTCGAGAAATGTACGCGTAGAAGATGTACACGGTCAAAATAAATGAGTCAGCCAGGAGAGTGGATAGAGAAAGTGATGCCAATGTTACTACAAAACAAGATCCAGCCGTTGTGGCTACAATCCATCAAGTTTGGCGAGAAACTGTAGGAAAATGTTTGAAATTGTATTCGGAAGAGACATTGGTGTAAAAAGATATTGGTATCCGCAGTCCGAGGAATTGAAATTTCTTTAAAAGGTAGTGAAGATATTACACAGTAATTCTTTGGCTTTTTGAGGCCACGAGGAAACGCTTAAGGCCAAAATTCTTCGGGCAGCACAGGCTGCGGAAACGGATATTTTTTTAGTCTCGGTTTTTGTACATGGGATTGATCGTGTGGTAATTGTACCACATTTATTTCAGTTTTTACTGTTTGAGCATAAATTACTGCACAGTAAATCTTGCTTCCAAATTCCAAGTCTTCGCTGAATTCTCGTAATTTTCTTTTTTCTAAGATAGGCCCAATTCTTGTTTAAATTTTCAGCAATTTGTACTTCCCTCTGCCTTTAGATACATAGAAACCCACAGAAAATCTAAATAAGTTATTACGTGACTTCTGAAATTCAGAACCCGCGTTTTACGGATGTTTTATAGGTCTTCAAGTGTATTATAATCATTACAACGTAAACACTTTTGGTCCTTCTTTGCTAAAGTTTTGTAGCATACCAGCCATGCTCTGAAGAATATCACATTCTTATTTAACCTTTTTAGGGCATTTATTGTCTCACTCCACCTGAATGGGAGGTAATATCCGTCAATTTCACATTGGAATTGCCTATATATTGAACGCTTCCTCGGTGCTCTCCAACCTCTTTTTGGTAATGTTGTCCGTCAACAAATGTGGGTATCAGATGCGGAAGTACCGGCCAATCTTGTGCCTTACCGCATGGACGAACATACTGTTCAGCTTTACAAATACCTTTGCAGTTGTGGTAAGTTGATATTTTTTATGTAGGTGGCACTGTGGCACTATTGCCGAGTTGTTCACTGTTAGTTTTCAGACCATAAACGTCTCCGAAAGGCACATTTTCCTTTTGAACAGCGGGTTCCTCGAGAATGTTGGGAATCCGATTTCGGGTATCCTCACGACTTCCTGGTTCTTCCTCACGTACACACGACTCACAATGGCTTTGATGTTTTTTGTAGTTCGCTACGGCTTCATTTGTCGTCCCAAGAAGAAGCTTCAGACGACAATAATTTTATGTTTTCTGGAAGCCTTCAACTTCGCGACATGTATTTCTCTGGCCATGGCATTTGATGATGACGGAAAGTTGATGTTTCGATCAATCTTGCGGAAAATCGGAGGGATATACCCGAGTTCAGTCGCGTTTAACGTGGTTTCGCTGGTAAGTTGTTGGCATATTATAACCTTCAAATATTGTTTAGAAAGATCCGTTCCATTCCATTCATCTGTGCTTACTCTGTGTTCTGACTTTTGGGGATTACTGTATAATGGCAGTCATGTCTAATCAATGTTATAAGACGTTGCAAGAAAACCGACTCAATATGGGGATGTCAACTCTCAGGTTTCACACTCAGCTCAACAAACTGATGGTGTTTCTGGTAAGCGTGGAGTAGGAGAGTAAGAGAAACCTTGCTCATAGAGTGGCAACTTAACCAATTTCTGAGCGAATGCTCAGCCACCCAGGCATATTACTACAGCAGCAACGATACGTTAAAACGAACGGTCTTTAATTTCTCTAGATTGAAAGGGATCTTTTCAGGGCACCGCACCTTTTTTGACATTAATCTTCCCCACCATGGTAAGGATTGTCGCTGTGTATGCATGGCCAGGTGACTTGTACACTCCAATTTTGACAAGCATTTTCGAGAGTTCTTTGCCGACTGTGGACGCGGTTATGACCATCTACCTTATCCCAAGTTTCCGTCGGGCGGTGCGAAAGATGCTCCGCCTTCGAAACCCCACCGCCGCTGAGTCGACGAATGAGAGTGTGTTTTCACTCTCTGCGCCGCGCCGACGCTGAATAACCCCTAGAAAACCTCATGTATCTATCACACCCACATATCTTGTTAATAAATATAGCATATCTGATATTTTAATAAAAAATATTGGTGTGTAAAATGTCTCGAAAAGGCAATAAATATAAGAAAATAAGTGCAGCGCAAAATAAGCTTCATTTGAAAATGAGTACAACCGGGAGGCATTTGGACCACTGCCGAGTCTCGAAGCGATCAGATTGACAGCATTGGCATTCCGTCGCAAGCCGTGGAAATGGGAATTATGGGGACAATCTGGACACTTGGTGGGAGACTGCACGTGGGAAACGGCCGAGAAGTGTCGAGGACCGCTCGGGCCAGAAGATTCACCAGTGATATTAGATCCGATTGGTATTCGTTTATTAATATTGTATTCGGGTTTGAGGTGATAAATCGTGTGTTGTCTATCGTTGGGAGTTGTTGTTTGGGTTGGGTATTTTAGGAACACGTCGAGGGATTTATTCCGAGACTCTTCCGGCTGAACGGTGTCCGAACCAGTGAGTGAGGAACCGAGGATTTTCAGTAGTAATGCATGCTACCATTCTGAACGACTATATCAATGTACGGACTACACCATATAAGGCGTGTGAATATTAACACCCTGTTGTCGATTCATGCAGTCTTGTAAGACCTCAACCGACATAGTATGTTGTTGACAAATCCTATCGGCCTTAGGCAACTGCACCCCTTAACTTTAGGCAAACGACCGTTTTCGTGTTTGGAGCATACTACAAAGCATGACGCAAGCCGAAACAGTTCCACCTAAGAAAAACAATTTGCAGTTTGGTTGTATTGCACGTACGCACCTAAATTTACGCTGCTCCTATAATATTTCTATCGTACCCCTTCAAGACCATGGGTCGGGTTGACAACGTGAGGCCATGAAGAAGTTTCTGGCGCCTTATCTTTGGAATTCTGCTGGCAGCCTACAACCTTGCTCGGTGTTTGAATTCTAACTATTTTTAATATTGGTTCTGCTATTTTTGGCCTTATTTGGACATGGGCCGACTCGCGGGCCGAAAGTAATTTTGGCTCGGCCTGTAATCTACGTCTCACAGTCTGTTTACAGGCCCGAAACAGACTGTAGTTCCACCACTCAGAATATTTTTCGCAATTGGAGGCTGAAAGTATAATTCGAGGCAGGGATTGGTAATACAATAAATCTTGTGCGTGGACGAATGTTTGAGGCGCTTTAGAAGAAAGACCATGCTATTTGATAAACATGTTTTGGTCATCTACCATATCAACGTTTTATCTGTCATATCAAATTTTTTCCTACTCTACTTGGCCATATATTATTCGGGTCATCAGATGAAAAGATATAAATTTCCTTTGGTGTTCATCTGCCTCTCCAATTGTCTTTTTAACGTTATAAATACTGTTAGTGTGTTGGTAAGTGATTTCTGACGGCTTTATGATACTTATCGGTTATTTATGTGCAGACTTTCGACATCGTACACGATAGCGTCTTCTATTACAATAAAGGCTTCTTTGTCAGTAACGACGGGTTTTTTGGCATCACCTTGGTGTTCATATGGCTGATTAGCATGCAGAATTGTGTGGTTGCAGTCATAAGTTTTTTTGTCTATCGTTATACTGTAGTTTGTGAAGCTAGTCTCCGTTTTCCCGGCGGGGTTTTCGGGATTTTGGGTCTTCTCGAAGCCATGAACTGCATTTTGTTCGGCTTACTTATTGCATCGTTCGACAACGGCAACAAGTTCACTTATCATCGACTGCTGCAAGCAAATGGAATCGACTTGCCATTTGGGGTGTGGTTTCACGTCGCGGATGCGGTAAGATTTCTGCAGCTTGGATCTTATTTTTCATGCATGCAATATGCGCTCCTCACTCCGTCTCTCTGTCTTTAGTGATGCGCTCTAACGCAGAAGAGAGTGGCAGAAGAGAGTGGTCGTAGGAAGATAAATATGGAATCATTGTAAAGCTTATGGAATACTAAGATGTGTGACTTTACGCTTGTGGTACTGTAGTGCTGGCCTAGCACGTACTGGGGCAATATGTTCTTTTGGCCTGGTCAAAAAAAATGGCCACCCATAATTATTGTGCTTTAAATGCGGTTTATGTTAGAAATTGCCGCCATATGCAACTGGACTAGGATAACTATATCGATACACACCAATTCCACTATTTTTTACTTTGCACATATGCCCTCAGGCATCAGTCAAGGTTGATGACCTTGTTCATGGTTAAGGCCCGGCCAAATTTTTTTTTGGGTTTGTGCCGTTGTTTTGATAATCCGAAGCAATACTGTAGACGGTACACTGCTCGACAAAATTATAAATGCACTTCTAAAATCACTGTAACTTTTGTGGTTTTCAGTAAAACTGTGCCATATTTGGCCCAAATGTGTACCAGTGTACTATAAATCTTGTGCCAAAAAATTATTTTGAAAACTTTCCACAATTTGGAAAAAAGTTGAAAAAACCGAAATTTTGGAGATTTTCTTTGCGACAAAATTATAAATTCACGCAATATTTTGCAATTTTCTCGCCGTTGGCGCTGAAGCAAAGTAAGTTATTTGGCTTAGTGGTTTCCTTAGGTGCCCTTCTGGCATGCTACGAGGAAAAACAGCGACAGAATTTGAAAAAGGCGGAATTACGACCCTGAAACCGCAAAGACCTCGGGTTTGCCAGATTTCGGCTCAGGTAGGCCGTTCAGCCGGAGTTGTGAAGAACTACTTGGCTCACTCGGAAGTCTTCAACACGGCTAAACGTTCTGGCAAAAAAGGTTTACCACCGCGGCAGAATTAAGGCAGAGAAATCCGCTGAGCTTCCAACTACACCATCTCTGGGTCTCATATAGAGCAAGAAAAAGGTCTCAATTTTAGCAGGATAGCTATGCTGAGGGCACTAAGACGCAGCGATGTCATCACTGGACATCATATGAAGTCGTGCCCCCAGCTGGCCTAGGTTCGGTTAGCACGCGACCGAAATTGGCCAAGATGACTTTGACAAAACAGGTTGAGTAGTCAAGGGTCAGTTTCCCAGCGTTGCAGCACCGAATTCCTTGCAGATTGCATGGTCAGACGATGTCCCCGACGGTTTTCCACATAGGACATATCACTGTCATTACATCAGAAGAGAACCGCGTTACTTCTTGTACCGTAATGTTGGAGGATCTGTTTTGTCAAAGTTACCTTGGCCAGTTTCAGTCGCGCGCTAACCGAACCTAGGCCAACTTGGGGCACGACTTCATATGATGTCCAGTGATGACATCGCTGCGTCTTAGTGCCCTCAGCATAGCTATCCTGCTAAAATTGAGACCTTTTTCTTGCTCTATATGAGACCCAGAGATGGTGTAGTTGGAAGCTCAGCGGATTTCTCTGCCTTAATTCTGCCGCGGTGGTAAACCTTTTTTGCCAGAACGTTTAGACGTGTTGAAGACTTCCGGATGAGCCAAGTAGTTCTTCACAACTCCGGCTGAACGGCCTACCTGAGCCGAAATCCGGCAAACCCGAGGTCTTTGCGGTTTCAGGGTCGTAATTCCGCGTTTTTCAAATTCTGGCACTGTTTTTCCTCGTAGCATGCCAGAAGGACACCTAAGGAAACCACTAAGCCAAATAACTTACTTTGCTTCAGCGCCAGCGGCAAGAAAATTGCAAAATATTGCGTGAATTTATAATTTTGTCGCAAGGAAAATCTCCAAAATTTCGGTTTTTTCAACTTTTTTCCAAATTGTGGAAAGTTTTCAAAATAATTTTTTGGCGCAAGATTTATAGTACACTGGTACATATTGGGGCCAAATATGGCACAGTTTTATAGAAAACCACAATAGTTACAGCTATTTTAAAAGTGTATTTATAATTTTGGCGAGCAGTGTATTGAGGCCGCTAAACAATGAATGTAGAATCTTAAACAGGCTTTATTTGTACAAGAACATCATGGACATTTGTTTTAACACGGCAACGGTTAAAGGAAACGACCGTCCGAAACGACAGATACCGTTTTGTTACAGTTTTCGACTTCATGAAGTAATCATGAATTTTGTCCGGTTCCGAAACCTCGTTGAATAGAAATTAGAATATAGTATCGCATTTGTGGCGTAGTTGAGATACCACTTAATCATTTAAAGATAAATATTATAAGCCCCTAAAGCGAAAATTAGGGTTGCAGAACTTGACAAAGTTTATGACTATTTCCTGAAGTCGAAAACTGTAACAAAACGGTATCTGTCGTTTCGGGCGGTCGTTTCCTTTAATCGGTGCCGTGTTAAAACAAATGTCCATGATGTTCTTGTACAAATAAAACCTGTTTAAGGTTCTACATTCATTGTTTAGCGGCCTCCAAAACGGATTTTTGGAGAAAATTAGGTCAAAATATTTCATTTTTTGAGTTTTCTTATCAAAAGAGGCGCAATCTTGGCAAAAGTGGGCAGTCTTACACACGAATACGATCAATACCGTCTACAGTATTGCTTCGGGTAATTAAAACAACGGCACAAACCCAAAAAAAAATTTGGCCGGGCCTTAACCATGAACAAGGTCATCAACCTTGACTGATGCCTGAGGGCATATGTACAAAGTAAAAAATTCTGGAATTGGTGTGTATTGATATAGCTATCCTAGTTTAGTCCCATATGGCGGCAATTTCTAACATACACCGCGTTTAAAGCAAAATAATTATGGGTGGCCATTTTTTTTGACCAGGCCAAAAGAACATATTGCCCCAGTAGGCCAGCACTACAGTACCACAAGCGTATAGTCACACGTCTTAGTATTCCATAAGCTTTACAATGATACCACATTTTTCTTCCTACGACCACTCTCTTCTGCGTTAGAGCGCATCATCTTGGGGTGGCCGTTTTTTTTGAACCGCCATGTACATGTCGTTGCGTTTCAGAGCTCCAGGATATACACCGTCCATGTATTCGTGGCCCTGTTTCATATCATCCTCAATTTCTCGCTTATAGCGTACTGCGCAAGGCAGACCTGGAAGACCTTGCAAATTACAAAGGTTCGAATGGGTATCACGACACTTACTTTCCACTCTCAACTCCACAAGATCCTCGGTTATATGGTAAGCAACAGAGACGAAATGGAACCACGTCACATAACGGATACTTTAACAATAAATTTCAGTGTACGTATCTAATCCTTATGCTCTTAATCCCAGGCGGTCTTCGAATATTCGAAGCCAACTTTTTGGATCTACCCTCTACTCGGATCGGAATCATCACCAGTCTTTTCAGCAGCACTCTGCCCCTTGTCAACGCGTGGATGATAATTTTCTTGATTCCAAGTTTCCGGCGTAGTGTCCTGCCAGTTCTCAGGAATTCACTTTGCCCCAGGGAAGTGAAGTCAGACACTGTGCTCACTGTGCGAGAGAATAAAGCATAATACAAATTTATCGGAAGTTTCTGGTATTCACAGAAAACTCTCTCGAAATTCTTGCTTGATGCAGAGTACAATTGCTGCAAATTGTATAAACAACCCCGCTGAAATCGAAACTGAAAAAAATTACGGCCAAAGCTTTGGCACAAAAAACTACGGCCAAAGTTGGCACCGCGATAATTATAGTACGTATCTTCGGAATTACACATCTTTATTACAACGCCGTAAACGGCTTTGGCGCCTCCGTCGTATTGTACAACTTAGCAACTAGTAAGGCCTGCGGATATGTCATATATACAATGCCTTTGAAACGAACACACAATGGACTTGGAGGTCTCCGGTCTTCCACCAAATAGCCGTTGGTGGGGAACTTATCGTTGGGCGCGGCTTCGGTCTTCCGATGCCATATTAGGATCTCCTTTTCGTCGCCCTCCCAACCAAATGGAGTGATCCTTGATTTGTCGATTTTCATCTGTGTTAGCAAACAATCCTCCGGCATCGTGCCTGCACAGTGCAAATTGAAGGAAGCGCTGAAAGATAAAATATTTGCAAAAAATTTCTATGCTATCCGTACAGTGTAATAGAAAAATGCCTTCCTCTCCAACTAAACGATTTTTACTCACTTTGACTTGACAATAACGTCGATATTCAGCGCAAATCCAGCCATATCCGTTCCAAAGTTTCGATCAGGCCTAAACGCCGAATGCCATCCAACCACTTTTCCATTCTTCACCAAAGGGTGCTCCACCAGCGCATTTCCGGGCAACCCGACCGCCCACACTCCCATGTAATCCACTTTCCGGATATAGCGCTCAAAAAGCCGCAGGTCGTACGAGTTGTCGTCATCGCCGAAGTAAACCACAGTATCATCGGCGAATTTTCCGCGATTCCGTCGCAAATAGTCCATCGCAACATTGCGTTGAGCCCAACCTCGACAAGGCAAGCCTTGGTTCGTTGTGTGCAAATAAGTATACGGGATTTTGAACATAGACAGGAACTTGGGAACAATCGGATTTGGAGCGTCCCCATCTTCGACGAGGATCCAGTGGATATTTGGGACTTGCGAAAGGGTCTGCGACAACCTAAAGATAGTTTCAACAAATTTTGTAAAAATCGTTTATTTGGGACAAAAGAAAGCAGAGAAAAAATCGGGTTCTTACATGGTCAAGTCGGCGATTCTCTCCGGCCTTTGCATGGTCGGAGTGATGATCACGATCTGTCTCAGTCTTTCAGGTGGTCTTAGAAGTCGGAAACCCCAGAAAATGAGAAGCATTACCATTATAACCGCCACGAAACTTTGTTTGTTCTCTAAAATTATAAATAAAATACGCCATCTCTCCGGTAAATTTATCAACAAAAATTTTAAAACCCCTACTTGTCAGTCCATAATGGTACAACAACGACCGTGCGTTTTGCACAAAAGTCGTTGCCTTGGACTGCCGGACATATGAGTATCCGGATTGGACTGAAGTATAATACGGAACAGACATTTGTCTCATTTTCCGAACTTCAAAACAAAAATAATTCCCTCATCGAAGACTGCTGCAGACGTCAAGCCAGCGAAGCTTCAATTTAATCAAGATTTGGATGAGATGCAATCGCGGTTATCGAAACTCGGATTTACTTTTGCGTCCATAAGCAGGGACGGAACCGGTTACTGGCGGAGGGGATCTCTTGGAAATTCTGATATTATTTAGCAAATTTACAGATAATGAATTGAGTCGTTCGTTTCATTTAAAAATTTGTCATGCTGATCAAGCTGGTCGCATATTTTTCCTATCTCTTACATTTTTTTGTTTAACTTTACTTGAGTATCTGATTATTTACTACAGGGGTAGCAGTTGTTTGTGCCAGCTGTATTTAATGGTACAAGAAAGACATTGTACAATGAATAAACGTCGTGTTAAAAAAATGTTGTGTATAAACAAGAGCCAATATTTTATCAATTTCTTCAATTTTTTAAATTTTTTCGATGATAATTTTTGCCTCATCTTTCCCGTGTACTTTTTTATCTAGACGGACAATTGCCATTTCAAAATATATTTTTAGAATTCTGCCCAAAGAAACAGACAACCCATAAAAATGCGGCAACTAAAAATGGCTGTTAAAGCCTCGATTAGGCTAAAACGGAGTCTTTGTATTTTCTTATCCTTTATGAACAATTCGAAACTATGGAAATGTTTGGCTCTAATGACAATAATTTTAAATTACTACTTAATCAGACATATTGTAAGTGTCAAACATTTTGTCAGCAGTTTTATGACACCTTTTACACTTCGGCTTTCAGAAAAGGCTCGACAAAAAAGTGGACGAAATCACAACTCAGAACGCCTTGATTCTCTCTTCCTATGAATATGAGGGAGAATTTTGTGTAATCCGAGATTATTGGGATCCGGATATCAAGGCATTCCCGAGGACTTCGATCACTTTAACAACCCATGCAGCCGTCGAATTTGCCGATTTTATTGATGAGCATGTAGGTTGTAATCGGAATCAGTAATTTATTCAGTGCCGACTGGCTCCAGACGACAAAATTATAGAAAAAAGTTCAACGTGAGGCTGAATTTGGTATCAAACAGTACCCAAGAGACACAAAGAGAGTTACGCAATCCTTTTTATTTGACATGATACGGTTTGATATCAATTTCGGGTCCATCTAATCTCTTTTCGATATTCTTGTAGACCGGAGCCAGAAGGACACTTACTATATTCTTTACAGAATTTTCAATTTTTTCGAAAAATTTTCAAAGCAACAAAAATTTCCTTTTAGGAGAAAACCTGGACCGGCCCAATCTCCGTCGCCATTATGGTGCCAAATCCAATGTATACCTACAACGCAAGCGGTCAGCACGACTTCGGCACCGAGCAATCTGTGAATTACGCGTTTTCAGTGAGTCCTTCGCGATCTTACAGTTTTTTTTATTTTTAGTACGCTCTGGCAAAACTCGAGCTTCTTCAAGCAAAAAAAGCCAATCGAATTAGTTTGAACTTGATGTACAAAAAAGATGACAAATGCCATGAAACTCTCAAAGTCCCATTGGTGCGACTGAAGGAAAATCCGGTATGCATTTATCGCCAAAAAATTAAATTGTGATTTCCGATAGCTAACACAAAATTTTTAGGAATTTATTAGGGACTCATTCAACTTGGTCCGCCGATTCGCCGGGTATCCAGCAAACTATCTTCGCAATTTGGCCAGATACGGCTCAAAGACTAATTTAATTTTTGCCACAGAAATCGAAAACTTTCCCAGTGATGACTTCGAAGAGAAAATGAGGCCACTCGCTAATGAACTTCTTGTACAGTAAGTGTGATTTTTTCAAATAAAAATTCCATTGTTTAGTTCGAACAGAAAGTCTTTGTTACTCATTAGAGAGTTCGAAGTGACTCTTGGAGTCGAGATCCCAAAAAATCGGACAATTCTCAGGGTAAGTGACCACAGATTTTGTATTGAGGTCAAATTGGGATCAAAGAGAGCCAGAATTTGATGCAAAAAACATCGCAACAGCCTTTTTCCATCCTTGCGATACTTTTTGACTTCAAATTCTGGCTTCCTTTGAGTTCTTTCTGGAGCTTCTTGTAAGCCGTCCCCAATTGTGCATACATTTTGCCGTTACTCGAGGGCAATAATCTTCGTATCTTTTCAGAAATTTTACAATGACGGATTTGTCATCGAATCGTACACTATGCGCCGTCCCTCTATGAATCACAAGCTTCCCTATTTGAAAGAGTGGCTGGAAACCGCACAAACTAAAATCGTTCCATTCAAGGTGATTCCCTACCAAGGCAACGATTGGGAGCCCGCGTTCGTAACCTATCGAAAGGCATTGCCAAAAAGTCCCGTCGATATTTCGGATGTTCACCAAGACTCACGATTTCAAGTGGAGGAAGCGTGCAGAGCGGGTTTCGATTTCGTCATAGTCAACGATTTGTTTACTGTGCATGCGGGATTCCGGAAAACCGCGGATCGAATGATTGAGGGTGCACGGAATGACACGCTCAGGGAGATGCTCACGGTAAGGTCTTGATCCAACATTAAGCAGGACTTTTTTATCGCATTTTCAGAGTTATAAGAAATTCCAAGCCCGGTTGGATCAGCAGTATCCAAACACAAAACCCAAATGCCCAGAACGGCCGTCATCATAACAAATTTCTTTTAATCATTCTCACAAACCCGTTTTTACTATGTAAAATAAAAAAGTCAACAACTCAGAAGAATAAATCTCAATTCTTCTCCAAATCCCTCCCATAAATTCAATTTTATCTCTTAAAACACCATACAATTATTCAAACTTTCACTCCAAAGTACATGATTGCCCTGGCCGAGGTGCACATCAAAAGCGCGAAAACTCCAAGGGGTGCCATCGAACTGTGGATGTACTTCACCAGGCCGTCCACTTCCTCTTCAGTATTCTCTTCCGCGTTATATTCGATAACGCACATATCGCTTTCAATTACATTCGCATCCAGAACATTATTTTTGATTTCCGTCGGAGTTTTGTGATTTGTTATGTCGATTACAGTGAGATTTTGGACCTTGACATGTTCTTCAAGGGTGTTGAGGTATCTGGCGAATAAGGCCTTTCTTAGTGGAAAGAGTTCCGATGCGTCTTTGAGGGAGGTTTTCGATTTTTCGACGTATTTCTTCACGGCATGGCTGAAATGGCGAGTATAATATAACTCGATGACAAATTCGATGAAAAAATATTTAGACGAATTAACCATAGCGTGTATGTCCTATCAAATATATAAAAGTTATTTTAGAAGTTTGGGAGATTCGAAGCACATTTCTCTTACCCATAATTGAATCTTTCGTGTTCTGGAGGATCCGGATATTCCTCATCCCTGCCAACGCACATAATGCATTTCTTGGGTTGATGTTTCATGCAAAGGCAATCCTCAACACAGCATTGACTCTTTATCTCCGTATTACAGGCCTCACAATACCCGACGCACCTTGGCGGGGGTAATTTCACGTCTTTTACGTATGTTTTCTTGTTCTCCTAAAACAAAAAGTATTAAAAATGAACTATTTTTCAATTTAATCTCAAGAAAAAAACTACAATAAGGTGACAAACTAAGCCTACTTTAATTTCCTTGTCCAACTCCTTCTTATCCTTTGAATTGTCTAAAGTTTCCGACCATTTTACATAATCAAAGCCATCAGGGACGCTGCCAAAAGTCGGACCATGTTCAAGTTTCAATTTCAGCAATTCCAACGTCGCCCAACAATCTTCGTACGAACAGTGCCCATTCTCTGAGCTCTGTATGTCCTCACGCAGATAGTACGAGGTCAATTTTCTCAACGACTGGCGATTATTTCTGTTCATTCTCATGGAGTATATCAAACCAACATCGATGCAGTACCTAAATCAAAGACATGCAAAAGGAATCAAGACTTACGGATGCGAAACCCTCATAGCCATGAGATCATTTTCAATGGAATGCCCGGCCAAAATCGCGTCAGGCGGTAAGACCCGCCTCAAGGCTTGTTGAACATCTTCGACTGTAACCGTGACTCCTTCCAAGCTCTCTTTGGTCACCCCGCTGAAGCAGGTGACGTAATCGGTGATGGGATTCTTGGGTTTGACAAAAGAATCTATCACTATGTTCCCTTGCTCGTCAATCTGAAAAATTTCATATTATCCATGAGAAGCTGGTAGAGAAACTTATTTTAGATTATTTATATAAAGATAATGCAAAATGTAAAGAAATACTAAACCTTACCATAGTAATCCTCGTTAATTCAGCTTTGTTTGCAGTTGTTTGGCACATCTCACAGTCAACAACAAAAATCGGCGAATTTTTAGTCAGTTTCCCATAATGCGCTTTAGAGTTGACTATCGACGCAATTCCCTCGATCTCCTCGGTAAATCCAGCCAATGGATAATTGAAATACATCATTTGCTCCACACTTGTTAAAAATTGCAACTTCAATTCAGTATCCATCCCAGGTGCCAAAAGATTTTTATTCTTCTGAAAATGACATCTTGATCACAGCCTGCCAAAACTCAAGGTTGCCTTTTTTCGTCATTTCAACAAGAATACTATCTAAATTCAGAAAAAGATTAAAAAAGATACCTTTAACAGGGCTTTGATATGTGACATCCGTGGCAATGAGATCTCAGTCAACCTTTTCCAGAAGTCCATCGTCTCACAAACCGACTGCTCGACAGGTACAAAAGGATTCCCAAAGAATTCTCGGAGAAAGGCCATTTTCTTATTTTCATCGCACTAAAGGTCAAAAAATAGAGAACTTTGCGAAAACATGTCAAATTTGTAAGAGTTATTCAAATTTACACGAGGAGAAGTGAAAAAAGAGCTTATTCAACATAAAAACCCACTTACAATCAGCCTTTCATCGCAATTTATCCTTGCCAACACCAGATGTGAGGGCTTTTTGAAATTCCCAGGTCGAAACCATCCCGGCTTCGGAATTTCTGCTGGTATGAGAAAGCTATGAGCAAGGTGAGCAATATCTAAACACCCAACATTAAACTAAAGCAGAATTTCTCACCGTCCAGGTGCAATTCCGCTCGTTTTATTCCAATCGAAGGTGCACCGAAAACTTTTGCCCGGCGACGACTAATCTTCTCAATTTTCTCCCGGGACTTCTCGGTCTTCTCGGCCTCAGTGACATCGAGCACGGCTGGAAATAAACCTCCACCTTACTGAAGGGCATCAAGGCTCAAAAATTGAGTAAATTACACTTTAGATGAAAAAATTGCAAATCCTAAACGTCAAACAAAAAAATCAAGATTAAAACCCACCCTGTCCGATTTCGGCTGAACAGTCCTCGTTTCCCTCATCAAACTCCGCAAGGACACCAAACTTGGACATTCGCCGCCGTTTCACGCCAAATTCATCATCCACACTTGCCTCAGATCTTTTCTTTGACATAAATAGAATTCTCCAGTCTAATTCAATAGAAATCTATGTAATTACACCATAAATTACTCCAATCTCCCAGCTGACATCAGTTTTATAAAATTTCTTTTGGGATTTTCTATTAATTTTTTTCCGCGAACTGCGCCCACACTTCTGCAAAATGCGGCAGCCTGCGGCCGGGGAACGGCCGACGGATTCATTTATAAATGCTGGAAAACAGAATTTTTTGATGTAACAAGAGTTCCACTTGTATTTCAACCGATTTATTCATTCAATGTCCAAACTGAAAGCAGGTTTATATTACATCTTCAGAAGTCTTGGTGTTTTGAGTTGGCCCTTCCTTGAGACTATCCTCTTTCTGAAAAAGATTCATAAATTACAAAGTGTTCGAAACGTAAAACTTCTTTTTATTACGTGCCGAAATCATAAATATTTTTGCTTCCAAAAATATTCTCCATTAAAAGTCGAGGTAATCGAGCGGAAAATGCGCCCGAAAACGCGTGGTAATCAGTTTATAACCGCGAAAATTCGATAATTCACATATCTGACGGCATAATCCCCCATTATGACTCGGAAGTGGGCCCAAATTTATTGGTTAATTGAGGAAAAAATCGAGAATAAATCAAAAAATCAGCGATAATTTGCCGATCAGACAAAACAATTGGTCAAAATGCGTAGTAAAAGGTGGGTGGATGGTATAAAAGCGACTTCAGTAGTTCGATCGAGTCATATTCTGCCCATATATACTATTTGAGGTTAGCGTTATATGTAAAAAATATTTGGGAAGTCCGAGAAAATTTAATATTGCAGTTTATGTTGATTATTGTCCAAACTACTGTCAGATAGAGCTAGTAATTTGGAGAGTAATCAAGATAAACATGTGCAACATACTCTGTGATATATCTTGCATCAACAAATTGCCAAATTTTCATCAATTTCCAATGAATTCTTTGGGATTTTTGGTAACTTACATCATTCCGAACTGATTTCTTGGATTGAGATTTCTTCTGGTTTTGTGACGACTTTTCTTTTTCGGAAGGGACTTTTTTAGCTGCCTTGGGCGTTGCTTTTTTTGGAGTAAAAATCTGGTCCGTAATGGATACTTTTTCGAATCCTTTGGTTTCGGCATCGGATTGCTGGGTCTCCTAAAATGAGGTGAAACTTTGTAAGACAGTATCTGAAAATGGAAGAAAATAAATGTTGAATTCTAGCTAACATTAGCGTATGACAGATCAAAATTTTTTATGACAGCATTTTTTCAGAAAATTTTAAAGATTTTGCAAAAAAAATCGAAAAAATGTTTCCCCAAAAACGTTTTTGGGATTAGAGGCACTCCAATTGGAGGTATTGTAAGTGTTGTGGGTAGGTATTTACCCTAGACCCTGGTTCTCAGTCGCTTGAAAACCTTATACAATCCGAAGGCGTTTGTACTCAATACTTTATTGAGGAGACCCTCCGTATACGCGTCCGTATGCGGAGCCTACAATACAAGCCAACTGGGGAAATCGGGGTGCGCATCTCTCTTATCCCGCCGCGCGGGGATATGATTGATTACGCGCCACGACATAAGGACTATATTGTACATTACACTTACCATAGTGGACAATTTCTTCTCGTCCGGAATCGGTGCCTTCTTTCGCTTCCTTTCCGTGCTAACCGTAATGTTTGGGAATTCCAAGTCCTCATCATTGTGAGTACCGTGAATTGAAAGATGTTCAGTCACCTCGACTTTTGCACTGGGCTTTTTCTTATTACGACCATCTAACAAAAAAATTTTCTTTCTCGAAAAATTAAGGAAAGTGCCAAAAATGGAAGAAAAATCATACGATTATTTCCCTTTTTGGTCTGGAGTTTCTTCGAGTATTTACAGCAATTTGATGTCATGAACAGAAAGATTAGCAAATTTACAAGCGAACCGAAGAAGTAGCAGATCATTTCTTGGCAACGTTGAGGGAACGAACACCACCGGATGAAAGAGAGACTGGTCCGTGGAATTGGATCCCGTAATAAATGATCTGGAAAAAGCACTTTTCAAATTGAAAATCCGATAAAGGAACGCTTTTGTTAATGAGCAAAGGTTGCTGAATACCTCAGTTGTGTGCATGTACAGTTGGAAAACACATCCAAATGTATCCTGGATGCATTAAATTGCATCCCTTTGTATCCCCAGTCTGGCCGAAGATAGTGTTTTCCTTTGAAGAGAACCAAAAGAGGTCCCTTTTGGTAGAAAAGGATTCCTTTTTTGGTCATACATTGAAGGGATGCATTTGATTTCATCCAGGTTTCATCCGGATCCATTTTTTGACACATGGTATGTTTTGGGACTGTATGCATAGCAAACTTTTTTTTTGCAAAAATTTCCAAACAATTTGAGCGACTCACCTTGAGCAGTTCCATTATGAAAATAAAAGGATCCAGCCCTTTTTTCTCTAATATCTCTTTTTTTCCAGTGATCTCCGCATTGAGCCTGAAGCTATTTGTTAACTGTATAAAATACATATCCAATTCGACCACTAGAAGATTATTCACACTTCCATGCAACATTTCTATGACTAATATCACATTTGCAATTTTTTTTCTGAATTGCTGATCTCGCTAACGTATGTAGGAACCACCGAGTCCCAGAAACGGCCAGCCGACCGATGTCATCGTTTGGCTGAACAAATAGATCTTTACTGAAGTTTGCACAGTCTAGATTGGCCATGAGTCTCCTATAAATCTGGTTTCTTAAACGGTTCAAAATTTAAATGCTTTCGGAATGTTTTTGAAAACATCTTCTGACATGTCCGATTTTTCGGCATATCCGCGCATTTTTTGTTGTGGAATCGAGGGTTCCCTTTTTACTTTCAAACTGGCCAAATCGTTGGGGTTCGGATTAAGTGGCCTTTGTTCAGGTTCAATCGGCAAAAAACGGCCGGAATTTTTTGGATCCTGAGACTTTTTAAATTGGGCAAAAATATTTCAGCATTATGTTTATCGGATGCCTACAGTCATTTTAAAATTAAAAACTCAAAATCGGTTTTTTCTTATGTCCAGACCTAACTGGTGGCTGATTCAGTGATTCAGAAATCGTGCTTGAAGATGTTAGATGACAAAAGGATGACTTTACCTTCTATTTTCATCAGGTTACGGTACTGCTTTGGATCAAAAACACCCTCCATACGGATTCAAATGTTTGTTTGACCTTATCTTTGGGTTAGCCGATACAAACTCGCATTCTTTTGTTTCAGAACTTTTGTGAGTCATGAATTGTTCTTTTGGATTTGAACAACGACCCGAGATATAATAGGCAGATTTCCTTAGAACCCAGAATGATAAAAAAAGCGAGCGACGGCTTTTGCAAGATATCTTCGATTTTGATTAGAATACATATGGTAAAATCTTTTGTATCTTTCCCAATTTTTTTGATACGTAAATTGTTGATTTATCTCTCAATGAACCGGACTTTTTACAATATCTGGCAATAAAAACGCCCTACATTAGACATTTCCTCCTTATGTCAACACTTTGCAATGCCTGAGGGCACAACAAACGACTGATAAACGTCCCTTCCCAAACTGTCCCGCTCCTTCAGTATTTATGGGAAATTTATAAAAAAAGGGATGATTTGCATTTTTATAAGACCCACGAGTTTTTTAATGAGGCCTGTGGGTTGGCAGAGAGCAGGTTTAACCCGTCTGTTATGCTTTTAGTGGGCAATATAGTCAATATTTATGTTTAGATTAGAGTTCGAAGCACTTTGCATATTTTTTTAGCAGGGGAAATCCTCTAAGTTCGACGCTCTTTTAACAAAACTAGGTACAAATTTACAGCGCGCGCTTTGCAGAAGCAGCCAATACTTTTATTTCGGGGTTAGCGTAAATCCGACGCTCTTTTGGAGGTTGATCCCTAAAAGTTTAGTCTTACTTCTGCTGGAGAGGTCAGTTTCTACACAACGTATCTTTTGTCCAGTGAAATCGCTTGTATATAGCTCCTCATTTCCCATAATCTCGCCTGCAAAGCTTGCCGGGCATCTGGGCCGCCTCTGTAAAGGTTGAGTTAACATTTACAAAAGCCGGTTGTGCTGTCGTTGAAACACTTTTCTTGTTCCTGTTTCGTGGTTTAGTAATCAAGCCAGAAAAGCTTGTTCCGTAGTTTATCGGAAAGGGCAATTGATTATTCAGCCACTCATAATGTCAATAATCAAAGGGGCTGGAAAAGTGTTTCATAGTTGTTTTGGGAGTGGTACTCATGTTATCGATCCGTATGGGCGCTGATTTTTTGCTTTTGATCTCATTTCTGTATTCTAATGATCGTTAAATTGGAAATAATAGCCCATCAAATTTAGAGATAATTTAGTACATACGTACCTACGGAGGAGGTGCGCTAAGAGGGTAATCAAATTTGGCACAAAGTTAGGATGATCCTTTCTTATAGATTCCTACTAACTCGAAAAAATTAAAACAATTGTTCGACTTATTGGTAGAACTTTCGTAACTAATCATAAGTAAAAAATTATTAGCTAACAAAGTCTTTGTAGTAAGAAATGCTATATATTTTGATGCGGCCACATCTTGAAGCAAAAATCAGCTTTTTAGTCGAAAAGTCGGTAAAATTTTGGCACGTTTCTGGAAACTTATTCACGACAAATTTGAGTTGATTTTATATTGGAGAGGAAAAATTTTTACCTGAAAATAGAACTTTCTGAGCAAAATTGGCGTAGATGCAGCCAAAAAGCTTTTCAGTCTCTGACCGCTCTCCGCATTTCGCGCGCTCTCTGCTCGGAAACATCTTTTCGCAAACCACGAGCCAAGACCTTAAAAAATTTTTTTACAAAAAAAAAAGAATTTTTCATATTCGCAACTTAAGAAAACTAAAAAACTGATTGTTTTCAGATCTCTGACAAGCCAATCACTCTAACAAAACAAATGTGTAGCGCGCAAAAATGCCGTGATTTATCGAACCGCCAAAGGCGTTATTTACCGACGGAAATGCTATTAGTTTTTTTTGGATCTTTGGTAAAAATTCGGTCAAGTTTCATTACAATTATTATGTATATAGTTGGCAACGAAATACACTATGAAACCCTCATAAATTGCCTTACGACTTGATCCATCTGGTTATTTTAGTAAAGTAAGCCTTCTCTGACCCTTACCCGTACGTACAATGAATAGCCGGGTCATTGTACTCAGATTGATTATTGTCTACCAGAAATGTTGTAGTTCCTAAAAACCGGAGCTGAAAAAATACCCAAATTTCCCAGAAGACTGGAGTCTAACTCATGTAATTGAGTGGCAAGCTTCCTGAGATCTGATATGACTTTCTATTAATTACATCCAATAAATTTCCATACATACTTTTGCCATAACTTCCCCCAGTTTTTATTCGTACTTTTGAAATCCCATAAACTCACCGGCTCTACTTTCCTCATCCCTCATATCAAATGGATATAATTCCTCGAAAGGGTCTTTTCCCGAGCCGATCTCCCCTCAATTTATTTAATCACGGCGCCCGAGAAATAAGGAGTTACCGACAAACTCAAATATAAATCAAAGTCACTCCACGACCGCGGCTAAACACCATTTATTGCGAGCTCAATCACGTTCTTGACGCGGTTATTAGTTGTTTGTAGAAGTGTCTTTGTAGCGTTTTTTGGCATTTCTTTCAGTTTTTAAGGATGCTCGAAGAGTGGGGATCACCGGGTCAGGGCTCGGTCAGACCCAGGACATTTTTAGACCTTTGGCCAGCAAGTTTTTCCTTGAAAAGTACATTTTATGCAGACAGTTTGCTCAACCGATGTCAACAAAAAAACTTGACGATCATTTGTTCGCGATTTTTATCGTGTCGTGATTTTCTAAAAGTTTTGTAAGCGCTTCTACATTTTTTTATTTTCAGACTGTGGTGTCAAATTCAATAATTCTACAAGTATTTGGCCTCATATTTCTCTACTATCGCATTTCCTTAAAACTTTCATTGTATTATTTACTGCTGACTCTGCCAGCACACGTCTTATAATCTGCTTCACTGCGGAAGGAATTGTAAAAGGGTCTACTGACTTTTATGTTATTGCTTTTATTTTCCTCTCATTTCAAATTTAGACACATTCAAAAAATCTAAATTGAATTAGCACATTTATTTAACACACCCAAAAAATTCTGAAAAATTGTGCAGTATAATCTGCGAATCTATGGGCGTATGTTTGAACAGCTTGTTTTTGGGAATTTGAACGTGATTTATCTCGAATTCGTAGTCAAAGGATGGCCTATACACTACTCACCAATGGGCAAAAACTGGCGCCACGGAAGGTCCTTACGTTAATCCTTTTTTCGCTACTTTTTGCAACGATTGTATTTGTTCAAGTCTTCCAATTCAAAGATCCTCATCTGATCTTACGAGAAGAAGTCCCGCTGAAGTTTTATGAGAAGTCGAGGGAATGGTAAGTCGGTTGATTTTGGCGTTATGTTGTGCCAGTTTAAATTTTATACTCGCACGTCAGAAGGCTCTTTTATAACATATACATACAGGGTGACCCAAAATAACGGAGACAAAAGATTTCCCGTTTTTTCTGCGGCCTATGAAGATTCATGAGTGATTCCTTATTTATACTACAGTACCACGTTAGTGTAGTTTTATATACCGGAAGTCTTGTTGTACGACGCTCTTGTGCCTTGAACCACATCAATATATCCGGTTGACTCGGACCTTTCTGCCCGTGGGGTCTTTTTGCAAGAAAGCTGCCTTACTCAAAAAAGAAAATTCGGAATAGTTTGAGATTTGCTGTGCTTAATTATCATAATATGGCCTTTAAAACGAGCCATCGTACTAAGCTCAACTATCGATAGTTCAAAAGTTACAGCCGAGTATTTTCAGGGAGTTGAAGTGCAAAAATGGGCCTTTTTTGAAAATGTATCGGTAAAATGGAGTTTAAATGTTAGATAAGGCAAAATGTAATATGAGTTACTACAACATGATTAAAGGAACACCATAGAACCAAAAGAGAAACATTTTGTAACTGCTACGGAATGCTATTTGGTAATCACTAGAATTTTGCCTTATTTTTGCCTTAGGCGGAATACCAGTCGAGCCGGTGACACATAAAGACCGAAAGTGCCCTAGGCCGTTTCTCAAGAGTCGTATTCATAATTGTACAAGAGCAGAATGCGCCGTTTTTATCTATCTTGTCATTTTGTTATCGATAACCCATCTTTCTCAAAGCCGCGTGCCATAGGGTGGTTCTGGGCGAGAAACTTGTCAAGGAAAATCTGTTGCAACCAGCAAGCAATCACAGCTTTTTCCAGAATTATTGTATTTATGAATAGAATACATTCTAGCGGTTTTAGCTTTATTCTAAAAAAACTGAATTTTTTATTGAAAAAATTTGGAAAAAATGGCGATCTTCAATGTTGAGATTGGTACCACCGTAGAAATAAAAACCGTAGCCCAGAAACCTACATAACTGCTTGCTTAGAGACGTAGTAGTCTAGCAAAACAAATGAACTTGCCATTTCTGCGGCTGTAGTACAGCCATGCTCTACACAACACAAAGGAACCAAAATTGAGGGCCAAAAAATGGCGCAAGGCATTTTTGTTAAGCTGTAACTTTTTCCTGCGACATGATGACTCCGCCAAATTTTCGTGGATTATAGAGAAAGTCTTATAGAATATTACCCACTGTCGCTTGTGTTTCTTTAACGCCCGGGTTTCGCGGTGGGCCCTTCCAAAATTTGTCTCCGTTATTTTGGGTCACCCTGTACAGTGCGCGCCAAAATGATAGAGCCACTCAGTTTTTCTGGATTTATTCTTTTATGGTTAGGTGGGCCAAGCCGGCATAATGCATATATGTAACAACATGATGGACCCATACTATCACCACCATAACTTAGGACTAGCCATGGCGTCCAATTCAAAAAAAATCAAAAATTCGGACCTTCCCCCTCGGTCGACGCGTCAAAATGATAGAGCCACCGGATTTTTCTCCTCGGTGGTGCCAGGCGGGGATCTATTGGTACTGTAGTCTGTTAATATCACTACTGCTATTCATTTCTGATGTGAAAAGATTACTGTAACTACCGGTCATACGGTAGCTTTTGGCAACTTTAGAAAATCTTCCAAATTTTGGGTAAAACTGACCGGAAATAAATTTTCCGGCGGTTGTATCCGGGTGGAAATACTTTCAAAAAGTATTAGAAGACCTATATTTTCTAAAGGGAATCAATATCCGTCGGGATCGCATCTGCCATAAACAAAAAATTGTATTATATATTACTTTAGTAGATGGGTAGGTTCTAAATTAATACCAATTATTAACGTATGAGTCTTACAAGGGAAGTCACTTTTTTCGCAGACGGACTTTGGAACGGCACCTAGTAGGTTTCAAACGTGAAGCGTCTGCGATCATAAAACTGATTTCCAAAAGTGTTTACGGAGCTTCTCGGCCGAGAAAATCGACCGCAAAGTTTAGCCGAAATGAGCGAATAGCCTCCTCAAAAGAAACAGCTTATTTCATCTGCAGTGGTGGCCGAGTGGTCAGCGCGCTCGCTTTTTGCGCCGGAAGACGTGAGTTCGATTTCAGTCGTCTGCGGATGCATTTCTTTTGACCATTGAATCAAATAGAGAGATGCCGTTAACATCACATATGCTAATTATTAGCAATTTTCAATAAAACACAAATCTAGAAACTATATCTTCATTAACCCAGCCCTATTTTGACTTTACAATATTCATGAACATTCAGGTTTGAATTTATGTTTAAATTACTGTAAAAAATTACAAAAGTGTATACATTCTATGTTTACATACTAAATCAATAATTACGAACCAAAAAAGAAAATAAACTGCGCAGAGGATCGAACCCGCCTCTTCTGCCGCAAAAAGCGAGCGCGCTGACCACTCGGCCACCACTGCAGATGAAATAGGCTGTTTCTTTTGAGGAGGCTATTCGCTCTTTTCGGCTAAACTTTGCGGTCGATTTTCTCGGCCGAAAAGCCCCGTAAACACTTTTGGAAATCAGTTGTATGATCGCAGCCGCTTCAGGTTTGAAACCTACTAGGTCCCGTTCCGAAGTCCGTCTGCGAAAAAAGTGACTTCCCTTGTTAGAAGCCGCCCGAGAACTTGTGGTACAATCGTACGAGGACCATAGATTACTACAACAGGACCAAGTTTAATAATTCATTTATTCAAATTGCTAACGATATTATGAAGTACTATACCAAGGTTATACCCGACGATATTTTGGTGGAGTTACTAGCGTCAGAATATGATGGCTTCGGGCTTTGAAACGACGAGTGCGCATCTTTTTGTGCGTAACGCAGCATGATTAACTCAATAATAACGTAATGATAAACAACTACAGAGAAACTTTGTTGTAGTCATCTAGAGAACCAGAATTGCTTCGCTTGTGGTATTATTCTTTGGGTGTACAAGACTTTACAGCCTTTCCATATTAAATGAAAATATTCTACATCGTGTGTTGCAGTCTAGCAGGAAGTTTGGTTTTACCTCCATGCTCCCTCATTGGCATAATTAACATTATTATAGAATCTGCCCATCTACTAAAGTAATATAATACAATTTTTTGTTTATGGTAGATGCGATCCCGACTGATATTGATTCCCTTTAGAAAACATAGCCCTTCTAATACTTTTTGAAAGTATTTCAACCCGGATACAACCGTCGGAAAATTTATTTCCGGTCAGTTTTACCCAAAATTTGGAAGATTTTCTAAAGTTGCCAAAAGCTACCGTATGACCGGTAGTTACAGTAATCTTTTCACATCAGAAATGAATAGCAGTAGTGATATTAACAGACTACAGTACCAATAGATCCCCGCCTGGCACCACCGAGGAGAAAAATCCGGTGGCTCTATCATTTTGACGCGTCGACCGAGGGGGAAGGTCCGAATTTTTGATTTTTTTTGAATTGGACGCCATGGCTAGTCCTAAGTTATGGTGGTGATAGTATGGGTCCATCATGTTGTTACATATATGCATTATGCCGGCTTGGCCCACCTAACCATAAAAGAATAAATCCAGAAAAACTGAGTGGCTCTATCATTTTGGCGCGCACTGTATGCGCATTTGTATTTTCAGGCTTGTAATGGTTGACCCCGATTGTATAGCTAACATTGGATCCAACAAGAGTTGCAAAGGCCCTGTAAAAGTTATGTCATCAAGATACGTTGATAACCCAAACTTTGAAATGTTATACTTCGTAATGGACAAAGCAACTAATGACCATCTAAAATTATATGGAATGCTGACCAATCAACTCAATATTACACAAGCCAGAGCGATCCCAAGGTCAGTATCAGTAACGAAAAATTTTAAAAAAATTTTAAAGCTCTCATGAAAGCCTTAAAAAATCTTATTTTCAGGTTTGCTACGCAGTCCGTCTATGTAAACATTGCAAACATGACGCCGATTGTTGTTGATATACCTGCCAATTTGGACAAGTTTTGGTTCCATTGGAAGAAAAGTCACTTCATAAAATGTAGGAATCTGGAGATGAAAAGGAACAGTACATCTCGTCTGATTCCATTGGATAAAGTGAAGATTCTAAGCAAGTACAGAGAATTTGCGGACAAATGGAACACAACCTTCCAACTTGCATGTGGAACTTTGTTAGGTAACGACAAAACACTTTTAAAGTACAACAATTTGACGCAATCTATGCAAAAAATAAAAACATAAAACCTTCAGGATGGTATCGGGAATGCGACATTATTTCACACACACAGGACATTGATCTCACCGGGCCGTCCTCTTTAATCGAACCCGCATTTATGAAGGCGATTCAGGACAAGTACAAGATGCGCTACGTTTTTGGCTATGACAAGGACTCGCTAGAGCTAAATTGGTTATATCAGGGAATCCGAACCGACTTGTTCTTCAAGTATCCGCACAACGCAACCCACGAAAAAACGTGTGCTGTCGATTTTGGCGGCCGGAAGCAGGTCTTTTCGTACTACCCAAAGGTTACGAAAACTTGCGCCGGTGATCTTCATGGAGTCTTGGTGTACGTGCCTTGTAATGTTGAAGAGATTTTGGTATCGGAATACGGAAATTACACAAAAGATATCCAGCTGCCTAATTTTCGATACTACGCCGATCCCAGGAATATTGAAGCCGGTCCGCAGTTGCCAAAGGCCGAATTCGATAAGCTCACTCGGTACAAATGGCCGTAGATTGTAAGCTTTTGTCTCTAATACCCACTGTGCCAGAAGCATTCACACCAAAAAAGATGTGTCAGAGCTTCCTCTTTGTGACGGTTGTTTAAAATTCAAATCTAATTCTACAATTCGCGTCGGGCCACAATGATGGCCTCACCCTGTATTTCCTGTTCTTCTTTCGGTCTTTGTTCGGCGTTTAGTTCCGAAAATCTTTCGACGGGTATAAGTATGTTTTTTGTTGATTTAATAAACGTTTTTACTACTAATTGAATTTCCCAAAAAAAACAATAAACAATTTCCAAAAGATTCGATGCGACGTTGAAATCTATTGCAACAGAACCACTCTGCTCAATTAGTAAGCTGCCGATATTAACAGAACTTTATTAACTCTCAATAATACCGAATTACAATCTGTGGAATGAACGGGTAAAAGAAAAAGGGTTAAACAAGACTAAAAGATGGGCTAAGGATGACGTTGAAGACGACCAACTGATTTTGACCTCCGAATATACGTGTGTGGATTTGTGAAAGAAGACGATTATTAAAGCAAGGAAAGTTAATTTCTTGAAACAACGAAAACGTCCAAGAAACGAAGAAACCAGACCGACTTTGTGTTGAGAATAAGTTTATTACAATCAGCGGGTAGACATATGATACATCAGTGAAATATAGTACCTTAGTCGCATTAGACCTTCTTGCGATGACAAAGCCGCTTGTGTCGATGAAGGAGAAGAGAAAGTACCATACACCCGTGGGTCTTTAGGGGCTAAAAGTCATTGTTTATGAGCAAAGGTCATCCAGGATTCAAGCTTATTTACTGCAAGCCGGCACAGTTAAACCTCTGTAGAAACTTTGAAAAATTTGAAGGGGTAAAAATGAGGTTTGATGGCATAGTTAGCATACGCAAAAAAAACAGTATAGAGCGTTTCAAAAACATTGGTTTTAAACAGGGTTGCACAGAGGTTCCACTGCGTCTATCAGCTTTACAATCTACACGGCATTTTATTGCAAACAGCAACCGATGAAGAAGCTTTGACATAACGTTTTATACAAACAGCGCACAACATGTTAGTAACAGTCATCACTGCACACAAGCCAACAGAAACGGTATTAGTAGAAGTTAATAGTTTTATTGCACAAGCAAAGAACCGGTTATACCATGTTAGGGGGGCATGTCGTGAATATGCATCGGCGTTCGTGTGGCGAATATCAAGGAAATATACAGTTAATGGAAATGTTGGGACAGTGAAATAAGAGTTAACAGCACTATGTAACAATTTATCCGAATCTGAAAACGTTGTTAGGGGTTAGAAGTTAGTTTGTTAGTGTAAATAACAGGTATAAGAAACTGTTAGAAATGTAAGTAAGAAATTTTTTCGGTAAACTGTATATTTAGTTACGACAAAAAATTTACCATAGAAAATATTAGTAATAGTTTTAGGTGATGCTTTGAAGAAGAAACACTTGAAATGCTAAAATTTCTCAACGTGGACAAGGAGAGTAAGGCACGTGGTTAGAAATGGGGATTAAGTTTGAAAATTTTTAGAAATCAAGCTCCAACAACGACCTTTTACCTACCTCAATGCGGCAACCTTGCGCTTGTGCATTTCCATGGGCTGATCCGAATTGTCGAGGAAGTCTTGGCCTGATCGTTTGCCGAACCTCATGTAGGCCGACTTCCTCTTCCCGAATCTCATGTATGCTGACTTTCTCTTTTCCATTTCAACTCCGTCATCTTCAGGCACTTCCAACATACCGCCCGACCGTTTCCCAAATCTCATATAGGCCGATTTTCGTTTCTCGTACGCAGCGAACGGTTCGGCGTCATCCTCTTCGACGGGCTCCCCAAGGGAAAGGGAACGCTTGCCGAATCTCATATAAGCCGATTTTCGTTTTACTTGCTCAGCTGTAATTATTGTATCATACTTGAGGAATATGCTGACGTTGCGTCTGCGGTCTCTATGGACATTGGTGGGATTGTGAAGATTATTGGATGAAGAAAAAGTCCCACTTATTCTCATGTACTCCTGAGAATGTAAAACCTACGCTTAATGCATCCAGCGAGATCGGGGAACTGGTCGCAAAGATCCGTCACGGCGACAGCGAATTCTGCGGCAATAACTGTGGCGAGGGCAACTAGAACGAGTGAGTGTCTCATCGTGGCTCTGGAACTTAGTGATCCAAAAAAATGAAGTTGAAGTCAACGCTTTGGGGGTCCCGTCGTTTGGATCTGGAATAGTGACAATATTTAAATATTCTGAAGGAAGTGGCAGGTGAACATCACGAAAAAGGACACAAAATAAAAACATTAATATCAAACAGAGAATTAATTCACTGTAGACATAAATAGCGTGGCCACACAAAAGTGGAAATGTGGTAAGAGACTCCAGGCAGACCAAATGACGCTGTCATCAAATTCCAAGATGTCATTCTCCTTATATATCCCCAATAAAACACCATCAAATCATCTCACGGCAATCCCAGCTGCCGTTTGCAAAAAAGCCTCCCGCCTTCGCTTGCCCTCCTCCTTCTGAATCCTGAAGGCCTTGGCCGTTCGAAACCCCGCCCTCCTCTTCAAAGTCCCTATTAATTCCAGCTCGTGTAAATAACCCATATGAAGTCATTGTTGAAGAAACAATCATTCACACCGGGCCTTAATCCACCTTCAATTCCACAGCCGTTGTTTAAAATTGCTGGATTAGCAATACGGTATCTAATAGAGGGCTTTTAGAGCGAAAACGCCCACAATGTTAACGGAGACAGGGAAATGGAGTATTAGAGAATACACGCAGATTACCCAAAGAAAGGTTCCCGGTGTCTTAAGGTATCTTTAGACGGCATAATCTCTTAACTATTGAGATAAAGATCACAACAAAAAAATTCGAACAAAGGTCGGATCTGAAGAGTGTTTGTGCCACACGACAGTGAAAGATTACAGTTTATAAATAGAGACGAAGCGACGCTCAGAGTGATATTGTTGTGTCAGTGGAAGTATCGCTTCAAAGTGAATCCTTCTTGATTTGCTAGACAATCTTCTTGCACTTTTTTAGGAATACAAGGGGGTACTAAGGGGTACTAAGGGGTTTACAACAGGATTAGTGGGGTTTCCCATTTACAACAACAAGCAAATGATGCGTCCATCAAGACAACGCCAACTTTGGATAAGGCCAATATTTGTGATAATTATTATACAAGGCTCGAGATTCTGCTTTGATCTCAAAGTAATTGTAACAAAAATGAAAGGCACGCGATTCATTTATCTCGGCTTTTCAAAGCATGTGGGTGAAATGCCATGAATTGGCCTTATAATTGCGTTAATTTTAGCACCTCGGCCTGTTGGTTTTGCGTGGACGTCCAAACAAAAGAATAGGTGTAATGATGCATAAAAACGACGACGAAAAAACTCTGGTCAACAGCACGGGGTTTGACTAAATGAGGTTAATAAGGCAGAAATGAATCTCTGATTGCGTTAGGAAAACGCTAACTAGACCATAAATGAGTACACAAGAACCTTGAAAACCTATTGCGTTCAGCTGTCTTTAAATCCCGCTTCAAACGCATGCTTTACTACCCTGCCCGCCCTAAAATCTTCGCGTGACCTTTATATGACATGTAAGATGCAAAACATTTCAAAATAGGACAACTATTCTATGAAGGATCAAGGGGATTAAGGTAAGAAGGGCGTTGACATTTTACTTCCTAATTGGACTTTGCGTGGCACAGTAATCTATGGCCATAAATCGTCATTATCTATCGTTCAGGTGAACGATTTTAAGAGTGCGTTACAGTTAACTATGTCAACGATTTCGTTTTAAACCAAAGCTGAGGACTTTTGGGTTCAGGCGACCATACCGTGTTACGAATTTACTATGCTTACTTTAGGTGACTGCCTGATAGAGATCGGAGTACGCAAAAGGCGTAAGATAACGGCGGGTTTCCAGCAAACCATGGGAAATTCCACGGTTTTGGAACCCGACAGGCATGTATGTATGAAGAGCTATGAAAATGGATGCAAAATAAGGTAGCAGTAAACGTCACGAACGGAAACATTATCGGCCGTTTTCCCAGAAGAGATAACGGTAATCTGTGATGACTCAGTTAAGTAATACAGCTATTAAAGCATTTTCCTCGACAACTTTTTTGTAGTTCATGAGAATTACCCAGCTAAATCTTAATGAATTAATTTTTAATTACCGTTTGAAGATGCATACCTACTTTTCTTACATTTAACATTCGATAATTTTGTATTTACTTAATTATTTAAACAGACTACATAGTTAAAAATTACATTATATATTTATCATTCACAAACTAAAATATTTATTTTTAAGGAAAACGAGTTAAACTCTAGGGTAGGGTGAGAAAGAAGTAATGACATTTCGAAAAATAAGAGTCAAGGTATTTTGAAATCAAAATGTAGGTAACAACAGGATAATCCACGGTGTTTGGTTTATATTACTATAGATGAGTAATAGGAATGACGCCAACATTCATTGAGAAATTACCGTAAAGACGGTTTTTAACGACTGATTGTAGGTCACAGCCCTGAGAAAAGCAGCACGTCAAAAGTTTCCCTTCAATAAATTCAAATTGGCAAAACAGTGTTAAAGATTTTAGTTTAACTTTTAGTGCCACCAAAGATCCCGCTAATGTTACTACAACCTTCTCTAAAACCCTACGCCGACTATAAATCATAGCCAAATAGCCCAATTACCAGCCAGTATTTCGAAGGAGTATCGGTTTCACGCCGGATTTCGGCAAATTAAAATTCCGCATACCCCAAAAATTATAAAAATTCGTAGAGAAAGAGTGCAATATATCGCTGGATTTTTAATTGTTCATTTATCAAAGGATTGCTTTTTGAGCTTTCGCTTTTTTATAAAGCCGACAGATTTAAACATTTCTCCATAGACCATGAGTACAGCGGCGGCCTTATTGCGGGTTATAGTAAACTCATTATTCAAAAAATAGACATCATGCTTCAAATGCCAGAAATTTCGAGAAAATTGGAAAAGAAAAGGTCGTAATTCTCAAGGAACAGGAATCTGGGGAGTGAAAGTGAGTACGAGGAAGTTAAAAAACGAAAGATAGATTCTATAGATTTGAAGGGTGAAGATTTAGAGAATCATCGTTAAAAAAGATGACGAATTCATGACCTCGGACAACCACAGCCTGAAGAACTTTTCGTTGTCTCCTCTTGGCTTCACTGTCTGTTGCGTGTAAAGATCGTTTGAACGCCAGCGTCAAAGCTGATCACATTGAATTGAAGGAAGCCATGAGAGTCCGTTGACATAAAAGCAAACTTATATGTAGATCCCGCTATCACAAGGACTTCAAGATCACGGAAAATTTGTACTAGCCTAGCCAAGTTTGACCAATCAACAGCCGAGCCTTCTGCGACCAATTTAAAACCAAGACTTAATTCAATTAGCTAGAAAAACTGCTCTAATAATGTTCGTCTCTCAAGCAAAACCTTCGACTTTCCCGTATCCTAAACCCGATCATAATCAAGTTTGCTTTGTTCGTTTTTTTGCAAATTGTAATCCCAAAAAGAATAATAGGCCTGCCTTTTCTGTTTTCGGTCCAATTCTTCCCAAAGTTCCAAAATTATCCGAGTGGGTCTAAGACAATAGAATTCTTTTAGCGAAATTTGTCGAGAGGGTCAGCAGACTACGGTAGTTTCTCAAAAAAGTCAAATTTCTTGAGTTTCCAAAAAATTGGAAATTTAAACCCATGGGAATGACGTCCAAAATTGGGGGATCATTTGTCTGAATCTTTTTGTGGTATTGTGTGACCTGTAGAGATGACCTCACGTCATTGCTAGCACAACGTTGGGCAATTTTTTTAAACTTGTCAGTTTAAAAATTTCTTGATCTCATAATAAAAGTCGAAGAGCCTTGGTTGTATCTCCTAATTTTCTGTAAAATCGCGTTTCAAAAAATGTGTGGCGGCATGGCAGATGACAAAAATTACGGAAATTAGCATGCGGCAATGACAGAGGGCGCCAGAAAAATCTATGGAAAAATCGCGCGCATTCCTCGAGCATCACTATGTATATCATTCGTATCGCAAGTATGCTCGTCAGACAAAGCACTCGTCGTATAAAATTCCAAATCGAGCGGATAAAGATCCAAAAAATAGCTCAAAGAAACGAATAGCCCTCGGAAATAGGTTTAGTGTGAAAGCAAACAACATTTGGCTGCGAAAAATAAACGGAACCATCGTAAATCTCCGAGAACAACGACGTGAGAGACTAAGGGAACACGCGGAAACGTATTGGTGTTGCCGCAATACGAAAAGGGGTGTAGGCAGACATGTGTTTGGACAAGGGCGAAAAGCCAATATCTCCCACGAATTTTCGCTGGAAAATTACAGAATTGCAATGTCTGCGTGGGCAGACATTGAAATTCCCCAAGCCGATACAACTGCTCAATCCGTCGATGATGGGATATGAATGAATAAATAGATGTATTCTATGTCCAATTATTTATTATACATGTAATATTCTCTACAAGGAAGCTACATTAGAAGCGTGCGTAAAAAATGAAGCTTAAGTGTTTCACAACAGCACAACTATAATAATCACTGATCACCTAACATTTTGATTCAGATCTCAATATTCCACAGTATCCCTCTGCCATTCTACATAATTTACCCATTACTTTTAACGCCCTAACTGTAGTCTAAAGCGTCATCGTTATAATCCCACGCCGTTCCAAACCCAGACCCCGCAAAGAAACAGCTATTCAAATTCCCGGAAAAGCGATATTTGCACTCGCGTTCCGCGTGTCACCTCTTTGGCACGCCATCCTCCTCATCGTTCCCAGCCGGCTCATCTTCCGTCGCATAAAGTTTATTTTTGATTGAAAATGAAGTCCAACAAAAAGAATTGCAAAGTGTATTTGAAGAAGGTGGCCAGAATTACAAATTGGTTTCAAAAAATTTGACTGGTCATTGGGTATTCAGAATTTAATATAAGAAATAATTAATGATGACATAACGTGATCCATGAAAGGATGGCCACCAGGAGTAATGATTACTTGATGGGCACCTAATCTACAGTATGAAAATAAACCGTAAACAAAACCCGAAAGAACAAAAAATTCCTACCTTTCCGGGGCTGCTTTAAAACTAGTAAACAAATTTATGGAAAGGTGAGACTTATCTTGGAGTCCCTGTGGAATTGTGATCAACTTTTGACCTTGCTTCACACTGATCATGACATAACATTTGTGTCGAGAGGCCCGGGGAGACAACCCACACGAACGACAAGAGCTCGAGATCAAGTGATTTATTGAGTGAAAAGCGGCCCTTATATAGGGAAATCCCACGTAGGAAAGTACAATCAAATTTGAATAATAAATGATGATTTCCGTGGGAATTCGGGCTCGCAGTTCGGTCGTTCCGCCTCACAATTTGCAAAGGTACCAATTACTGCGTCTGGGTCGGACCTTATTACTGGGTTATCTTACGCTCTTTGACTGTAGTACTAACAATAAACCCAACTCCCGTCTGAGGTCCTCGGTCTACATTACTGTACCTAACATAAGAAATACTGCAATTGCAAACTTCAGCGCATGCCGTCACTGTAATATGGATAATCTGATGACGCCAAGTTGTTTTCACTTCATTTGCCTTGTTCTTCCAATATCTCATAATTACGATTGTTTGCCAACGTATTCTTGAGTCGGATTTGGAAGCTTTTTTGGTAATCCGAGAAAACACCAAGTGTAATGTGCAAATTATCATGTAAAGCCGGTTTTTAATTTAAATGAAATTCAATTGTTACAGAGGTGATTGTATGTATGGGCATGCTATTGGGTGAGAAAAGACCGTAAACATATATTTAAACTCTGCTAATGAAAAATGAAGGAACATAAAAGTAAATCGGATTAGACTTTAATTGCGTTGAATTCGAATTGTTAAACGCAATTGAAAATTTATTAAAAATCTAAATTTAAAATAGTTGTCCTACGAAACGAAAAAAATGTTGAGACCCGAGAAAAAAAAATAACTATGTAAAGCACAGCGGAATCTCGGTAAAGCGGTCCTAACAAGATTTATACAGAAATGCCAAGCTCTGCAAATCTTGATCCAATATTTACGGAAGTAGCCATTTGATCTATTCAAGCTGTCTTTACCAAAATTGGAAGAAATATGCTTAACGCCGACGTCAGCCCCTAGCCGAACAAACTGCAACTCCTTCAAGGAAAAGATGTGAAATAGCGACCACAGTCTCCCAAGCTCTGCGGAATTCCTCACAGTAACCTCATTTACAGCAATTTCCAGGGACAGAAATTTATAGGTAAACTCATTAAGTTATCATTTCCTAATTCGAAGAGTTCTCCGAAAACAACCAAAGGCCACTAAAAAAGTGTCACGCATTGAACCACATTTCAGATCCCCGTAGGCCAAACAAGGCTCGGATACACGCGAAAAGTGAGTTCGCCGAACATTCCCTCAAAGTCTTCATAAATAGCTTATGAATATAGCGTCAAGTTCTTGTGGACACCTCAAGATTGACTTTTGGTATTACGCAAATCCCAAGAAAGTCAACCAAAAAGATAAATTTACTTGGAATTTGGGCCAAATTTTTTATCTTCGATATATTTCCGACTCTTTCTGTTTCTCCCTTTCATAATCTATAAATTAATCTCTCAATTCATCTACTCAAAAAGTAAAATTTGAAATTCCCATTCCTCCATTTATTTTCACATTCATCGAATTAGTAATTTGTGTATTATAAATTGTAAACGTTAATGGATTCCAGACCGCTGCGGATTGATTACAAAGAATGCTTATCGGTTACCAATACGGTTACTTTGATCTCATTTTCTACATCTTCGTCAACAACATCAAACCTCTTACGATTAATGGCCCATACGCCATTTTTACCATGGAACAAATAAGGCAACAAAGGAACAGCATGTGACCAAATGAAAAAAATCAAATTAACGCCACGTTAATGCTGTCCTACACTTACACCAACACTTGCGGGGGTAAACATTTCAGACTTCCGAAAAGAAACAAAACTGAAAAAATACGTACATAAAGCGCAAAACGGCAATGAAAGCGCTGAAAAACACTCAAAAAACATGTAAATAGCACGTTATGAAAACCATGATGTGCTAAAAAGCAAAAACAAACAGTTAGGATGCTTTTGGAGGGAAATCTGGGATAGATGTTTAAAATCTCAAAATTTTACATATCTGCTCATTTGTTGACGGCTATATCGCTCGGTACACCTACAGTTTTCAAGCTAACAATTGCCTACCACACTTTCATTACCCAGTACACCATACGTTATAATTTTCTTCTCCCTTATTTCCAATCTCAACCACATTCATCTTCATTTATGGCATATTCAGAACCCGACCCACCGTACTTGCCATCAATACTCATGATTACTTTCACACAAAAATTTAACATTTTTGTATGTGGAAACACGTCAAAATTTTCAAAACAAAACATTAATCAAAAATATCATGTAAAATCTTTTGCGTGTGTCTACGATGAGGGTATTGAATCCACCTTCACGACTTGTCTTTGGAAATGTAATAAAACTTTATTTGATTCAGAGACTCGCTTTGGCCGTAAATATGAAATTAACCCTTGGCAAAAATAGAACCAAGAACGCCCGGAAAAACAGGGTTCAAAGGTGTGAAAAAAAACTTTTCTCACACGCAAAGTTTGAAGACTTTAAAATTCGGATTTACTGTAATCATTTTGATCTTTTGTCAACCGGGACCCATTAGGAACAATGTACCGTCTTATTTGGTCCCTACATGATGGCGTCTGATCACAGAAACTTGTTTGGCAAGTAATCATGTCTGTAACTCACGTAAGTAATGTTTTGCAGAGATTGACGCAGGTAACCAGTAAAGACAATAACCAAAAGGAACTCTTTCCCATGGCAATTGTTAGATACTCTAATCCAGGTATTAATACCTCTATTATAAACCGCAAACATTCGTACTTTTAATCGGAAATTGGTTGGAAATTAATAGACGCTTCTTGGAGATATACATTGAATAAAAAATTATTCAAAAAAAGTTTTTTCCGAAATTAAAAAAGGTTAAAAGAGCCAAGAGCACTTCAACCAGTTCTTAAAGTTCTCTTGTCTTTGCATTAAAAACTCATAAAACAATAAAAGTGCCGTTCTCGAACGTCAACGTCCTCTTGAGGCGTTCGCAACAAGAGATAAACGTTCTGCAATAAATTTTAAAACCGTCCAACTTTTTTGAATCGAAAATTTTTTTTAATTGAAGAATAATTATACGGTGCCAAGAAGGTCATAGTCGACTAAACGGATAAACAATTTTCAATCATTTCTAAAAATTATTGTTTTTTAACCAATCTTCAAAAAAAAATCATTTTTAATTCTTTGCAATTTTCCTAACAAAGGCCTACCTCATATATTTTTTATAGCCATTTATCCTTCATTTTACACTGGTGGCCAATTTATCTTTTTACTTTTCCCTTCGGGACATCAAATTGCCTATGGTTCCCGATAATCATCTACTTCCCCCTGAGATGATCAATTTTCGGCAAAAAAAAACAATGCCAATTGAAATATTTGCTTTCTAAAATAGGAATTCTACAAAGATTGTATCCTTGCCATAATTTTCTTTCAATTTTACTGAGTATCTTCAAAGAACAAACAAATAACAAGATGGCAACCTAAAATTTCCAGTCGATTCCTAGAAGAAGTAGAACCATTTCCGGCCTTGGCTTTGTACCGGAGTTGTAGTTGTAGCTACCGTAGTACTCACAGCATTTGGGTTTAATTCGAGTGCTCTTTCCGTGTATTTCGTCCATTTTTCTGCTATTAACCATAGTTTTTCGCGGAGTTTGGGGTCGTCCAAAAGCTCACTCCAGGTCTGTTCTTTGCGTTCTCGGCTAAAATACGATGAGAAATTCATTTTTGATCAAACTAAGAAAGGGCGTCGCGACACTTGCGGGCAACCAGTTTGCGGGCAAATTTTTTGCGGGCAAAATTTGGGGGGTCACATTTGCGGGCAGCTGAAACTTTTGCGGGCAGCTGAGACACTTGCGGGCAGCTGACATTTGCGGGCAGCCGACACTTGCGGACAGCCGACATTTGCGGGCAACAGGAAAAAACAATCACACAGACTGTATAGGAACTTTTGGAACTGTTGCCCGCAAATGTCGGCTGCCCGCAAGTGTCGGCTGCCCGCAAATGTCGGAAAACTTCCAAAATGTCGAAGTAATTTTTCCACCTCCACCTTGTTATCCTCAAGTGCCGGTTGCCCGCAAATGTCGGCTGCCCGCAAATGTCGGCAAATTTCCAAAATATCATAGTAATTTTTCCCCCTCCACCCTGTTAGCCTCACAATCAGGTGTCGGTTGCCCGCAAATGTCGGCTGCCCGCAAATCTTCCAGGCTGCCCGCAACTGTCGACCCTGCCCGCAAATGTTCCAGGCTGGCCGCAAATGTCGGCTGCCCGCAAAGTGGCTGCCCGCAAAAAATTTGCCCGCAAACTGGTTGCCCGCAAAGTGGTTGCCCGCAAGTGTGCGCCCGCCTAAGAAAGAAATTTTTTTCATTGCGGAGGGAAAAATTTTTTTTTGCCCAGTGCATATTTTTTTAATGAAAAATCGGTTTATAAACTCAGCACTACTTACTCAATGAAGATCTTGGTCTTTCCATCCACCTCCTCGTCGGCCACCGCATAGAGAACAGGCCTTACAGCCTTCTGGACCTTTCTTCTTCCCATGATAAATCCAGTGAAGTTTACAAGCCACCTACTCAAAAAGAAATTATTGTGGCTTAGTTCCTTCTCCAAATTGGTGGCCGTTCGGCCAGGATCGGCGAGCAGAACCGAAACATTTGAGCCTACAAATAGAAAAAAATTATATTATACTGTATTATGTATTATCAATGGCACATATCAGAGATACATGACCGTCCTCCCCAAAAAATATCAAGCAAAAAATCTTGTTTTTTTAAAAAGCAAAAATTACCTTTCAGTCGATCCGCTAGTTCCAATGCAAACGCGGCTTCGGCCAATTTTGTTGTTTTATATACCTCATAACCATCAAACTTTTTGCCTTCTACTGGTTCGCTATTAAAGTTTTCTATGTCCACGTTTTTCCTAAAACAAAATTTAAATCTCCTTCCACCTAAACCTGCAGACACAATAAAAATCTCACAATTTATTAACCAAATTTGTGTTGAGGAAGACCAATCGGACTGGGTGATTTTGTTCGAGCAACTTAGGTAACAACAATGCGTTCAAGAGAAAAGTTCCAAGGTAATTTGTTGCCAACATCGATTCTATTCCCTAAAAACCGCAAATAACTTTAATTGAGAAATCAAAGAAAAAAATTATCCTTACATCCTTGTTGATGGTCCTCGTCGATTTCATTACAGCGGCGTTGTTTATCACCCCATCGATCCTATCCAATGCGTACTTGCCGTTATTAATCTTTTCCACAAAGTTTTTAATGCTATCAAAGTTCTCCAGATCAACTTGACGGCAAAAGACGTTCCTGTTCTTCGTCGATAAAACAATATCCCTTCTGGTGGATACGCATTTTTGGCGGTTGCGGCAAGCCATAATCACTCTGGCATTTCTCTTGGCCAACTCTTCAGCTGTCTCCTAAAATTTTTTGTTGATGAAAAACCTAAAACTGATAAAAATCGTAAAAAATTGGCTTACTTTGCCGATTCCACTCGTAGCGCCCGTTACAACGTATGTTTTTCCGGTCAAATCTGCTTCCAGCTCGTACTTGGACCCAGCTTGGGTCATACTAAAAGAGAATAGTTATGAATTATTAGAAATGGACCTCATCTTAGAACAAATATTAAACTTACTCAATAATGTTATATCCACCATACAAGACGCCAAAAGCCGAGAATCCCACCGCCCAAGGAGACTTCAGACCAGATATGATACGTTGCATCGCCATTCTGAACGGCAATTACCTGGAGATATCATTTTCCATAATTTCCGCTTTCAAATCCAGTATTTCTTCGAAAATCGACATTTTATAACAAAAAAAAGTCCCGAAAATTCCAGAAAAATGTGAAATATTTATTTGTAAGGCAAAATAAATTATTTTTATGAAATTTACATAACAAGAGCACCAGTGGCAAACTTCAAACACCCCTGTGACTAATTTCCTGGGAGTTACGAAAGTCTGAAACTGATTTAAAACACCCATAATCATTGGCCGATTATTATTCTAGATTAGGTAAAACGTAAAATAAAACTACTATGAGACACAACAAAACAGGAAATATTTAATTTTGAGTAATTTCGAGGAAAAGCTCGCTCAAAATCACTAAAAATTCAAAATATTTCCCATTCAGCCTCTAGTATAATATAATTATTTACTCTAACGGCGTGAATCAGAGGTTCCAGTGTTCTAAACAAGTTTCTTAGCCTCGAAGAATCCTTTGAGATGTCGCATTTGCCACGCTCCGCATAGGACTAGGACCAGGGTTTGAGCAATTGCCCACCAAAGGACTCGGGAGTTTGTCGATTCAGAAGTCTGTCTGAATCTCTCCTCTCTGTACCGTTGATAATTCTGCTCCTTGGTAATCTGTTCTACTTGGTCGAGGAGTTGTCTGATCCTGAGTTGAAGTTCATTGAGCTTGTCCTTGGCCGCAACTTGTTGATAGTCAGTGGTGTGCTCTCCAACTTGAATATCAAGATGAACACGAAGCTGAGAACCCGAGAACCATGAGGTAGAGTTCGAGTAAAGGCAGATCAAATGCTCTCCAGGGGTATGGGAAGTAAAGGTGAAACGGCCTTCTGAGGTGTAGAGTTTACTTAAGATCACCTAAAAAAGACAGGTATAACACATTAAAAGCAACTTCAGACATCTCTCCTCGCCTCTAACGTAGAACAGTTTCTAAAATCAAACGCAAAGTATCAAAAAAACTTGCCTTATCGTCAGGATCCTTGACTTCGACGTGCATTCCCATACCGGCATAGTCCCCATAGCCCTTGGTGTTCGGATCATACAATTGGACCTTGTAGTTTCCAATAACCATAGTTTCATCTGGAATTTCCTCGATAAAACATTTCCTTTCAGTCTCTGCAATGTGGAAGTACAACGAACTCGTTGGCACCACCATGAAAAAGGCCAACAAGGCCAAGATTTGAGATTTCATCCTGAAAAACAAAGAAAATTTTAATAATTATGTTGTTCTAGATGTCCGAAGCGATTTTCGTAAACAAAACGAGATAAAACCAGAGAAAATTCAAGAAAGGCCCTAGAAAACAAGAAAAAAAAATTTTTACACCTCTTCCTACAAAAAAACCTGAAAAAATAAACAAATTCCACTTCATGAACGCCAAAAAAGTCTTCTCCGGTTATACAAAAGAATATAAACAGCATTATGCACAATTACACGCATCAATTTCAATGTTTCCAACAAAATAATCCGTGAAAAATGTTTTTTCGAGTGACGTGGGGAACTTCAAGGGCACTTCAGGGAAACCCGCGAATTTGAAATGCAAATTTATTTTTCTGCGAGCTGCGCCCAGTTATATAATTTTTTGTACTTTTTCGCTGTTGCTCGCGTCTGCGGGCGGATTTTTTGTGGTTGATATTGGTTGAAGATGGCTCAAGAAATCGGAAGACAGATTATCGAAGGTAAGAGGTACTTTTTTGTGACTTTATATTCCTTTAGATATGTACATATCTCTCACGACCGGAAAACTGATTGGTAATCGCGAATATGTCTCGAAACTGCCGCAGCTCACGAAGGCGTACCACGTTATCAAAAATCTTCGAGCCTCAACGGACGTAGAAAAAAGTTTGGAAGCGTTCGAATTAGTTAAATCGGTGAGTCCATCAATAATAATATTATTGTTTTGTTTAGGATAAAGATGTTTTCCTGGAGTTAATTAAGAAGGAGAAGGCAAAAGATATGTTCGATTGGAAAGTTAATTTAGTTTTGAGCAACAGCCAAACTTTCAAATGTTTAACTCCAAAGATTGAGTTGAAGATTGATGGAAAAGATTTGGAATTTGATGTGGAAACGTTTGAGCAGTTGAGATATGAGGTTGCGAAGGCTTTGAATCGTCTCCAAAAGTATCACGAAATTGCGTGATCATCTCAATTTCGGGTTTTGTACATATTTAACCAAATTTGTATTGTTTTAGATAATAAATCATTATTTTTCGGTCTGAAACAGCACGATTTTTTTGAATGACTGGGGAAATACAAAATCTTTGAGCTATTAGATATATAGGTTTTTATCGCTCGTGAAAACAAAGTCTATTTTTTTTAGGTAATATAATTTTTTTCGTTACAAAAAATGCGAATTATCAGCTCCGATGTTAAATTTCTCTAGAATTGTGTTTACGCCATGTGCGACGTTATTATAATATTACTAAAATTATGCTAACAGGGGAAGTACTTCAAGTGTGACGCTCAGATTTTCTTTAAATTTTGCACACACATCGGGTATGGACTAAATATCAATTCCTGAAAGTTTTAGCTCGCGCTTTGCGGGCGCCGCCGAGATATTGAACGATTTTTGCCGCCGAGAGAGCACGCTCAACGTGGAGAGCGGTCAGAGAGAAAACCGCTTTTTGGCCATAACTTTGGCAGTTTCGTGCGGAAAAATTTTATTTTTTGTAGAAACATTATTCTTTACGGTTGAAATAGGCATGAAACTTTTCGTGCCGAAATTCGGCAAAAAGTCCCAAATTTTCGCCGACTTTCGATCTAAAAATCTCGGTTGTTTCTGCAAAGCGCGAGCTAGGATTCCCGCATATATCTTAGAAAAAATTATTCTAAATTTGTGCCAAGTTTCATCAAAATCTGAGCGTCACACTTCAAGTACTTCCCTTGTAAGTTTATAAATAAAAACTGCATTACCTTAGTTCCTCTTTCTCGTCATTGCAAACCAAGCCTCGCTGCTGGTTGTTTACTTGATAGAATACTCAGATACCGGCTTTAGGAATCACTGAACTTGTGAGTTGACCTTTTGTTCAGCTTCGATTTATGCAAACATCTTGTGATAACCCGATTTAGTGGTTCCCTTGTTGACAATTTAATTTGGTTAAGGGGATAAAGTCCGAATATGTCGAAAAAATGCGATTAATTCCGATGATTGTGCCCAATGCCTGTACAGTCAGGAATCTAATGTTTTCTCTCGTTTCTCAATCCTTCGTCATAGATAATATTTTTTTTGAATTTTCCTAAAAATAATTAAATTTTGGTCACTTCTTATCTACGAGTGATATTAGAATTGTTTGCACGTGATTTACGTGATTTAAAAATGTTTTTGGTCATTTTAATTGATTAATTAACTATGAACTTTATATTAACTATGAACATCAATCATTAGTTATTTTAAACTCGATTTTGCTATTTTTAGCCCTTCCGCTTGCGATGTTGACAAAAACCATCGGTTTCGTAACACTTTTCAATCATCAAGCCACCGAATTTTAGCGTCATTTCGTTCGATTCGCCGCGAGGTTGCGTCACCTTTTTCAATTCTCATCTTTTCGGGGCATTTCTCGGATTTCTCGACAAAATAAAAGTTCTATATTGATGAGTCCGATAATTGGTGCATTGGACCCTACAAATCCTTGAATGATAAAGTTTAGATTAGAGAGAAGTTTTGGCCAAATTTCGGCCTAATTTTGTCCTAACAAATAAAGTAAAACAATAAAAATGTGTTTTGATTGAGGTAAACACGTTGCCTATTAGGGAAATATGCAAAATTTAGATCTCTAATCTCTTGCACGTTTAATTCCTAAAGTCTGCTTTGTATTCCTGCAGCTATAAAAGTTGGCGCACGTCAAAATTAAAAGATTTTCTCCCCGGAAATACGCACTCTCTCCCTTTCTCGACGAATAGTGTAATGTCTCTTTGCGAACTTTAGCTGATATTTTGGGGGAAAATAAACATCCTATTTGGAGATGAAAAATAATAAAAAAAAAGAAAAAAATTTGTTTGATCTTCGTAATGTAAGGTGTCATACCGGATATTCTCGGAAAATGTGATCGAATAGACGAGATTTTTGAATTTTGAAAATTTCGAAAAACTGTCACGTTTTAGGAATCTTTTTTTCTTAAAAGGTTGTGTAAAAATAGTTAAAAGTCCTAAAATATTGTCGTGGAAAACCCGAATCTTAATTTATCCCAAGCTTGATAAGAGCGATTCAAATTGGAGGCAATCACCTATGACGCTATTTTGCGCCTTTTTAAGTTTATTTTTCAACTCCAATTGTTATTCAATTGACCAAAATGTGCGTGACATTTTCGCTTTGATTATCGTGATGTATAGACGCAATTTGCCTAACACGGTCATCTCCATTTTTTTGCCCTTTTAAATTTCCGTTCCTTTTGGTCCGGTTATAAAGGAGAAAGGCGGCTAGGGAATGTACTTTTAGGAGTGCAAAGAACAAAAGTGCATTCCTATTCCAATCTGCCTAATCTTTTCGTCCGACGTGTATGTGTGTTTTTTTTCTTTCGGGAATGAGCTTCGTTTGACATTTTTTGAAGCGAAACTCGACTGAAGGATGTCTGAGGGTATGTATTATCCGAGGAATGGCATTTTGAAGGCTCGTAGAAGTATGGGTAGAGTTTTCCGGCAGTTGGGTTTTAGGGGTCAAAAAGATTGAGACTAAAATGCGACCTAACTTGGTATCAGAAGGTATCACAGCGGCGTTAAAGGGGTGCCTTAAAATTTCATTTTGCCAAAGTAAATCTTACAGTACTCTAAAGAAGGAATCCGAAACATTTATGTGTATTCAGTCAAGGAAGAATCTCTCATAAGATATCCCAGTAGCTTTCTATTCTCAAAGTTATCTTTTTCTGTCTCTGCGATACTTTTTGATACCAAACCTGGCCCATTTCTGTCACTTTTCCAATTGATTTGGCCACCTGAACCCAACCGATCATTTTTGTTATTTTGTCTACAAACTTTTTGATATCAAATTCGGGCCGATTTTGACCTCCTTATCGGGCGTTTTGTCGATATGGTTCAACAGTCATATTTCGGTTCATTATCCAGAAGCATCAATAAACATATTTTTTTATCTACCCTACCGTGTCCTCCTTGTTTTCTACGCATTGTTATTGACAATTTGGAGTGTTTCTGCCTGTTTGTTTTGGATTCTCCGGAACTGCCAAAACGTGATTAACCCAAAGAGGAAGTGCCACTGATGCGAGATATTTCAAAAAAACATTTTCGAATTATGAAGAGAATTGTATAAAAAAACTAAAGACGTCGTAAGGGACCAAGGGGTTTTTTTGGTAATTTGATTTATGCTTTATTTCTTTTTATAATTGGCATTTACGGTTTTTTTGAAGGGATCATTAATCGTTGTATTGTGTTTTTTCGTCCGATAACGCTCCTGTTGACAGTCTTCTGACCGCTTCTTCGGTTCATTCGGGGGGTTTTTCGACCCAACCGGAACGTGTGATTAGAAGGGAGCGGTGCTTCCGTAATAACCTTATACTATTTTTATTCGATTTTGCCAATAATTCCGCAAATAACTATTGTTTTTAGCAGTTAATGTTGAAAGAAATTTGTTGCGTTTCACTTTTATATTTAGAAAATCATTTTTGGTAAATATTATTTCGATGTAATCTTTTTTAAGAGTATTTTCTAGCAAATAATCTTTTGGTTTTTGCAGAAAACTTTGAAGATACGACACTACAAAAGTCGAAAGAGAAATTTTAGAGGGCGGTGGAAAGTTGGCTTCAATTTGTATGACCAGCGGGCTCAAAAAATTGCCAAATACCCGCGATCTCATAAGATATTTTTTTATCAACAGGGATGGGGCAGCTTTCTATTTTTTCGAACGACTGCGAAAAATGAGGAGAGGCCGTTAGAGAAAAAAAACTAATATTCTGTAGAAGCCATGAAAACTCAATCTTACACCGCCTTGTATCTTTCAGAGTTTATTATTCTCGATTTAAACCCCATGTTTTTTCTTGAACTCCCCGTACCACGTGGTGTAATGAAAGTCTTTGCTTCTCCAATTTTCTCTCAAAAAAACCATAAATTGTTTTCTCTCGGGAACTCAGAAAATTCGAACTCTGTTTGTTTGGAGGGCCACTGATCATTGGGTTGTTTTTCAGAGGGTCCTGTTGACAACATTTGACGGCTTCGTGGAAACTGGACAGAGTGAAATTGGACAGAGTGAAATTGGACAGAAATAATTTGGACAGAGCGTGGAAATTGGACAGGGTGAAATTGGACAGAGTGAAATTGGACAGAGTGAAATTGGACAGATTTTCGCTGCAATCGTACGAAATGTCAATATTGAATCATCAAATAATTATTTTTTGCAGTGAAAAAAAATCTGTCGAGTTTCACTCTGTCCAATTTCACTCTGTCCAATTTCCACGCTCTGTCCAAATTATTTCTGTCCAATTTCACTCTGTCGAATTTCGCTCTGTCCAATTTCCACGAAGCCCATTTGACCGCTGTATACGGGAAGTGTTTGGGCTTCCATTGGGGTCACACGTGATTAAAAGGCATGCTGTTTTCATTGTGATAATGATAGTCTTGTTGAAACAATATCAAAATTGGTTTTGTTGTTGACTTTTTCGAGGTGCAATTGTAGGAAAGTAGGGCTACTTGGCCGAAAAGAGTCGTTATATAAAAAATTGGTTTTTATTTAGCCATCTTATCCCATAAATCATGATCGGACAGCTGAAATTTTTGCTAATTGCTTCGCTTTTAATTTTTCTTTTTTTATTTTGACTACCGGAAAAAAACGTTTTCTGATAAAGGATTTTTTTATTGGTATGAGCTAATTTTTTGCAATCATGTTTCATTTTTTCCCCTAAACTTGCAAAGCAATCTATAGTCATTGTCTAAAACTTTATTTTTCTTCCTTATTATTCATCCGATTAGAGCCGAAAATACAAATTCTTTATTGTTGTGTTGCCTCATCGTCTGCACAATTTTAAAACTTTAGAAGAACAAGTCCCATTTAGTTCCTCTAAAGATCAATTTACCATTTCTTAACGAATGACTGTCATCAAAATTACTGTTCTTTCAATTGTTGCCTTTTTCTACTAGTTTTACGATTATTTGATTTATAATCTTTTTTGTCAAATACGTGCCAAATTGTAATTGCAGTTGCCTTTGATACTGACCCTGAACCTTGTTCTCCTACTTATTAATCTGTATTTCCCGCTAAAGCCCCAAATTAGCCCACAATCCGGCGTCTGTTGGCGCTTAATTATGTTTGCATGCTTTCTCCGCTGCAGGCCCTAAGGTCTTTGAACAGCCAAACGGATTCCACTTAATGCAAAACAACCTTTTCCCTTGAATTTTTTTGTGTTTTCTAAGGATTTGGCAACATTTAAAATTTGAGAGTTGAGGATACAATTAGTATTCGTTTAAAGATTATAATTGTAAGTAGTATGAAAAAAATGTGGGCGGGTGCACTGGGAATGGTGTTTGAATGAATTTTTCTTTTTAAGAGTTTCCCCTGCCGCTATTCTTGGCATTTTAATGAGGGAATTCGGAGCTTTCTCATATAATTGGACTGTAATCAGCCCTTTTTTTAAAATGCGAAGGAGCCTTTTGGTATAAAAGCTAAATTTTTTGGAAGATAATGTCATGTGCATCATGTTCATGTCAGACTTTAATCTGTTCGATTTTAGGGCAGTTTAGGGGCATTAAAAGTGCGTAGACTTGTTTTGTACGATTTGCATTTTAATACCAGGAAAACGTTTTTGAGAGCATTTTTTATTTTTAGTACAACTGAGTATAGCTTGGAGTTTTTAGACTGCTTGTTGCGAACTTTTCGTACTTAAAGAGGTGTTAAGTTTTCTGGCATGTAGTTTAGAAATTGTGCTATTAGTAATAATGCAGATTTCTCTTACGAAATGTTAATTTCTAGACACGAAACCCGTTTCCAACAGATTACGTGCATTTCGCAAATTTTGGATTTCGATTCTTATGTATGACCTCAAAAAACGGCTAGACTCTCGTTCAACCCTTAGAACGTTGGAACAGTCGTCAGAACTTTGTTTGACCCACAGGGCAAAGGCACGAGGTCCATTCGTGCTTTCCTCCATCACCTTCACTTGTTTTTTTCTAGTTCTCCAAGTCCACGAGAACTTTTGGTCCGTTAGTCTTTTTGTGTTCACGGAACGCAGTCTTTTTATTTCAATGCATAGCGAATTGGTTTGGGCGTGATGATGTTAAGGAAGAATTGGATTTTGATAGAAGTTGTAATAAAATTCAAGCGTTTTGCGGCACCGCGCAATCGGATTTTGAGTGGCAGGATCCAGCAACCTTTTTTCTATTCGAGAGGGGACAAATTCGCCCTCATTGTAAAATTTTTTCGAACCGCGCAATCTTGAAAACTGCACCACTGTTTTTTGTCTCACAGTGAAATTTTTTTTGTTTCGTGCTTTGCACGAAGTCATTCAATCTTTTATCGCGCCGTGCAAACCTTTTTCTTCCTCTGAACGTTTCAAACTCCCCTTCCCTTCTATCCCTCATCGTGCTTCTTTGAGTTTAATGTGAACGATGCAAAAGCAAGCAAATTCTTTTTTTGCAAGAACCGGATAGACTCAAAAAATGCTTTTGAATATCGGTGTTCCAAGTGCATAAGACCACCAAGTACACTTTCACTTTTTTTGTCCCCGCTTTTTCCCAAAGCCCTCGTGTTCTTTGCTCCCTTAGCGAACGAGAATTTTTTACGTTCGTTTTTTGGACAGCAAGAGCTCATTCCCGGAGAGTTTTTTTCGTCTCATTGCTTCAGGGTTTGAGTCTGTTTTTTCGCGGAACAGAACATTTGCGAGGAATGGGTACGTGCGTAAAGTCCGGCGAAGATTTTGTGGGGCATGTGCATTTGTAAGGGGCGTTTGATGTGGTGGATGGTCGGGTTGGATGTATGATTCAGTGGGTTAATTACGACGATTTATAAAAATCATAAGGGAAACGATTTTTGTATAAAGGGTTTTGCTACGGTAATATTTGGCCTAAAAAGTTTGCAGGTTCTCTTTGATTGTTTTAACTAACAGTAGGTTAAAGCGGATTTGTATAACATTCTCCGCACAGAACTTGCTGATTCATTATCAAAACTTTTATTTTTCGATGTTACTCATCACTTGCAAACGATACTTGTTTACTGCTTCATATTCATAGAAAAAATAAATTTGGAGGGATTCTACAATACTCTAGAGTTACAATGGAAAAAATGGTCAAAGAGGGAACAAAAGAAGCTGATATGGTTTAAAGTATCAGTTGGGCTCAGGAAGGATTACTTTTTGCAGAGAAATAGTTGCCAGTGGGTGTTTTAAGACACCTTTGGATTCCAAATAATCTTATTCCACTTACAGCTGATTCTGCGGAGGCAACATTCGTTTTTAATTCTACTGATTGAACTCTAACCCCCCTCCTCTCTGTTTTCTTTACGTCACATTTCTTTTTGCGTCCGAAAGTTTATAAAAAACCGTCCTCTAATTCCCTTTACGTATATTATTTCATCATTTTTTCTCGCGTAACTCAATGACTCGAATAAATTTTTTGATAAAAATTTAATTTACGTCCATTGTAGCTGCCCTAAGCTCAAACTTTACGCAAAAAGTCCTGGAGGCATTTGACGCGCGACAGGAAAAGGTTTATAACGAATTTACTGGTAAAATGAAGGCAGAAACGGCTACGCAGTCTATGGTTAAAATAAACAGCATGGCAAAAGAGGAGATGCAGAAGGTAAGAAGAAGTTCGTTGAGACAATTTTGGGATTTCAGGCGATTCCTTGGCTGAAATTTGAAATATTGAGACCTAACCAGGCTTTGTTGTTTGTAATAGTTTAGAATTTTTTTTAGTGATGACGATACAATAAGCTCATCTTAGACCTAGCATGACCTCATTTACTCTTGCAAACCTCTCTGAATCATCAAAAATACATTTTTCGTTCCACTTTTTTCTCAAAAACTATTTCCCAAACGACTCCATTAATTCTCCTCCGTTTTTAGCGTTCCTCCAACTCCCGCCAACCCTCCCGGCAAGCCCTGCAACGTCACATTGCCCTTTTGCAGACCAAGCGACATTACCAAAGTCGTTTGCCTTTGCTTCAACAAATTTTAATCCAAGAAGAGTTCGAGGACAAAGTGGGGAAGCTGAATCAGTACTTTGACGAAAGCTCAGATGATGAGAGTAACGCCTCCAGCTCTAGTTCAAGTGCATCGTCATCGTCTTCCGATTCCTCATCGTCGGAATCTGATAGCGATGACGACGATTTTGGGCCCACATATACGCTGGTAAAACGACCAAGAATGTCGATTATGTCGTCCAGGAAAAAATCCAAACAGTAATCTCGTTATAGCAAAGTTTTTTCTTCGATTTGTTACCCTGTATTATACTCAAAGTTTTTCTCATTTTATACATTTTACAACTTTTTTTACTCTCCTCACATATATCCGATTGTGACTCCGGTGGTCTCATTTTACTTTCTGGTAACTATTTCCCTTACTGTTCAACGCCATAAAAATTGCGGGTTAGTCAAAAAAATCAAATTCTGGTAGCCTTTTTTTATTTTTACCATAGTTCATGTTTTGTATTGCGGTTTTTTTCTTGCTCTCTAGATTGTACACAAGCCGTATTAATCTTGCAAACATGTGACTGCGAAGTTTCTCTCGCAAAACTTTTACTGCATCCCTCATCAAGTCTTCGGTTGTAAATATTTCTTCCAGTCTTTCCATGTAATGAATTCTTCAGAACTATTCAAAGATTCGTGTATAGAAAATAAATAATACAATAATTGAAATCGAGTTTTGGAAAGTCTGAGTGGAACAGAAAATAAGGAAATATGTAAGTGTTGCGAAACTAATTGTACCTTATCAAAACAAGACATTCAGCTGGGCTGAGGGGAGTAATATATATAAACTAGAAATGAACACTTGGCAAGAGGAATAAGATCCGAGGTGTATGATGTGTACATGTGGTTTGTGTTATCGGACTAAAACCTCGTATTTTTTTCAATTTTTCATTTGCTAACTCAGAAATTGTACTGTTCATCCAACGGTTTTTACTTCCGGCTATAGACAAATTCTGATTTAAAAGTCCTTAATTTTTCAATTACCTTCCTTAATCCTCTTATTATCACCCTTACTCACTTATCACCTGACATTTCAGCGAATTTGATAAGGCTTTCCCTGAATTCTTCAATAATTTTCGTTATTTAAATGATATAATAAAGCAGAAAAGACTCTTAATTACTGAAGCAAATGGTAAAAGTAGTGTTTGCACTTTTGATCATTCTAGCTTCATCCCATGGTCTTCCTCCGATTAATTACCTGCCTTACAATGAGACTATTGCAAGAAAGATGTTGGATTTGGCCGCAGCCGCATATTCGGATGAACCTCATTTGTGCTTATTGAACCGGTTCAAAAGGGCGAAGGTAAGGGGTTTGGGGAGAGAATTTTGAATTTTATTTTTGAATTCATCGAATAAGTTTGCAAAACTACATATGTATACTGTGACATTGCATAATTCAAAATTTGATGACGTAGACTTCTTAACAAGTACTGCTCACATATTTATGAGTCCAGTAAAAAGGAGAGAGCATATTCTGAGTAATATCTGCAGTTAATTTTTATGTTTCTTACTGCAAAAATATTGTTGTTAGATTGCAAGACTAAAGACATGCGGCACGTCATAATTTGAAAATTTTATTTACCAGATAATTTAACAAGGAAAGTACTTTTATGGGGGCTCCTACTTTTTGACGGGACATATCTCAAAAAATCAGAAAAAATGTGCTGATCAAGGGTATATAAACCTTAGCTGCCCCTTTTTGGGTTTTTAGGGTGAAAATGCCCAAAAACTGGCTTAATTTTCCTACAAAAAGCGCAGGCATTCGAAACGATAAAAAGCGCAGTCGGTCTCTTCCTTCGGAAGAGAGTGGTGTGGCCGAGTGGCTAGTGCCGTAGTTTGGAAATCAAGAGGGGAACGCCGCACGGGTTCGATTTCCCTTTTGGGCCGAATCAACTTTTTTTGAAGATGAAGGTCGGAGAAATAAATTTTTGGGCCAAGACTAATTTATCACGTCTTAGAAACTCAATAAACATCATTTTAAGCCAAAATAAAAATTTTAAACCTGTGAAAAATTAAGCGAAATGGGGTTCATATAGGACTTTAAGTCAACTTCCGATTGAGTTTTCACCCCTAAAAACCTAAAATGGGCAGCTAAGATTTATATATCCTTGATCAGCACATTTTTTCTGATTTTTTGAGATATGTCCCGTCAAAAAGTAGGAGCCCCCATAAAAGTACTTTCCTTGTAAAAATAAAACCTCGAATATCTGGCTCCCTACCATGATTCGACCTCCCTTTCTTTCAGGTTATTCAACGCTACGAGCTCTTCTGCGACTCTTCATTGAACGCCACTTGCTCAGCCTACCTTGCTCTCTTGCATGAAGAAAATGCGATTGTCATCTCCTTCCGGGGTACCAAAGATGACGTCCAATTTTACCGCGAAGTCCTTTCCGGGGTAGCGACCAAGCAGAATTTTTATGGCTTTGGCAGAGTAAATAAATACTTCCACGATGCATATTTGACTTTATGGCTCAGTGGAATGGCCGACTTGTTCTACGAGTTGGTGGAGTATTACCCCGGATACTCAGTTTGGGTAACTGGTCATTCACTCGGAGGGGCGTTGGCTACATTGGCTTCGGCAGATTTAATCAGTACGGGGAGGTTTAACACTCATAATAGCTTGCATTATAATTTTGGATGTCCAAGAGTTGGTGATGACCATTTTGCACAGATCTTCGAGAAATTGGTGAGTAAACAAAAGTTTTTTTTTTGCAAGCAAGCAGTCTTTGCTAGTTCAATCAATATAAGAATTATTGAAAAACTTTTCTTGTGTGAATGAGATGCTTCCATCATTTTTTTGTCGACAGGGGTATGTAAAAATCGGGCAGCCGAAAAAATTCAGAAACTGCGGTTCAATTTTATCCTTTTTCAAATAAACTAATCCAACGCTTTTAGCTTCCCGACTACTTCAGAATAGTCCACGCTCAGGATGCAATAACTACTGTCTTCCCGACTCTTCTCGGATATCATCATCACCACACTGAAATCTGGTATAATAACAGTATGGCCGTTGGTGACAAATACATCTCCTGCTACGGCGATAACGACCCCCGATGTCCGGTTAGACCATCCATGAGCATGTTTGACCATCGGCGGTATTTCGGTGTCCGAGTTCCGGTTTACGGACAAGACGGATGTGTGGGGAATGGAGAACATGAAATTGAAGGTGAAATACGGCGTTGATTGGTTCCCATAATTATTTAGTTTTGAATTAAAAATTTGATGGAAATAATTTATAATCTTGATCATAATTGTATTTTGATAAATGCTCAAAAATTTGATGGATGATAAAACTTCCTTTTGATTGCTGTTTTTATGTGACAGGAGCACATTTTTGATATTTGTTTTGCAACAAGCGCACGCTTGATTTTGTGGAAAACAACGCTGGTTGCCGTTGAGAATTGGCGGTTTGTAAAACGATCTCATATATTATAAATTCATAAATGCAAAGTTTTGTCTTAAAACGAACCTCAAGACGAATAGATACGTACAACCCGTACGAGTTCACAAGGCACTATCCCACGCTGCACGAAGCACATACTCATTTAGCACATTATTTTTGAAATTTAACTACGTTTACCCCATAATTGCGCGTTGCAATGCATTGTAATAACTTTGATTATTTTTTTTAAATTTTCCTATTCTAGTTGCATTGCCTTTAAGCCCTTTAATTTATAGTTTGATCTATCTGAAATTGAGCAACTTTTTTGTGTGAGGTATTAAAAATTGAAGGTATAACAGTACCAAAATTTGATAAGACTAACAGGCCATCCTTATATTTAAGGTTTTATTCTGGATGATTTTATGACCCTTTATCTAACGCATCACATGCGGTGGCTCTTTGCTTTGTTGACGTTGACTAGACTTGTGGTTGGAATCGAATACGATGAAGGGTTATCCAGGAATAAGTTCTTCCCTCTGGCGGCAGCTGCATATTCGAACAAACCTGAAGAATGTTTGGAGAACAAAGTGATCGGTACGAAGGTAAGAAGATGACACAACGAGAACATGAAAACTTTTTGGCATATGTTTTCAGGTTCTTGGAAAATATGTTGCACCGTGTAACTTGAGAAAGAGCGATCATTGTTTCAGCTTTATTGGTGTAAACCATAAGGATAAAGCATTAATCTTGTCGTTTCGGTAAGTTTTTGGAGGCTTTCTCTAAATATAGACCGAAGTTTATTGCAATCCAACGCCTTGCTTTTGACCAAACCAACGATAAGCATAAGTAATGTCTACGGAATAAACAATGCTTTTAGGTTTTATTTTACAGTAAACATTGCGAGTTTTCGCTAACGATTTTTTTAGAGGCTCCACCACTCCAGAACAGATAGTCCATGAAGTTCTCGACACAATAGTTAAGCCGGAAGTCCAGACATTCAATGACACTAAAGTCGGGTTTTATTTTTACCATGCATTTGATCAGATGTGGAACAAAGACATGAAAGTCGATTTCGAACGTTATCAGGCGAAATTCAGAACCTACGATATATGGGTAGGTAAAATATTAGAGCCTTGTTTAATTGTATGCCGTTAATTTCTCCGTTGAAAAGAGAGCTGTAAAGCTGCTTATGTTGATATGGAACCTTTTCAGGTAACCGGTCATTCCCTTGGCGGAGCAATGGCTTCTTTATGCGCCGCAACAATTGCATTCGACTATCCCAAAGCCAGTGAACGAGTAGTCCTCTACACGTTCGGTGAGCCTCGAGTTGGGGACAAAAAATACGCCGATTTATTGGATAATCACATTCCAAATTCATTTCGCGTTATCCACAACCGCGATGTCGTGGTAAACATCCCAATAATCCATGCTGGTCATTTTTGGCATCACAACACTGCCGTATTTTATAAGAATGACATGCAAAATGCGACCGATTATATTGAATGCAGTGGACCGGACCGGGACTGCACTTTTAAGCATATGAGATTCCAAACCTCAATTGAAGATCATCTGAATTATTTCGGGATGAGAATCTCGGATTATGGATTGAATAGTTGCAAGCCGGTGGCGGCAAGGACGTATGGGACTCCAAGGAATCTGACAGACATGGCTAATTGAAAAAATCAAATTATTGTGTTGGTGGTAATCCAAAATAAAAAATCATGGGCATTATCCCATTGACGCTGATGGCATAGAAAGTTCATCTTATATGCTCGTGTAATATGGCACAGTAAGGATGGCAATGACTTTTTCAATTCGAAGTTTGATCAGCCTTTAGACCAAAAATCACGGTTTTTTATAAAAGACGCCAGTGAAATCTCGCATGTAATACATAGATGAGTCTGAACTTGCGCCAAGTCTGATCAAAATGGCAGCCGCTTATAGTTTTTAGTTTTTAGTTTTTTTTAGCAAATTGATACCGGTATTCGTCAAAATCTGCTTTTCGAGTGTCCCACCTCTCTCTCACTGATCGCCAACCCCCTCCATGCCCCGTCATACTACAAATTTGCAACATTAAGAATGAGGTTAAGCTAAGCGCATGCCTTTTTATTGTCGATACTATTTATAATATTTTCGACCACAAAAGGCTTTGTTGCCGTTACTTTCTTCGCTATATAAAAATATCTTTTGTGCAAACTATCAATGGCCGAACGTGGACTACAAAGTAGTGAAAATCCTCTCAATATTTGCATCAACACTACGAATCCCTCTGGCAAATTTGCACGCCTGTAAACACTCGGACGTTATTAGTTTGAGTGGAATAATCAATATGGGCGGGTGCTATCAAATTTCTAGACGAGGGATTTTTATGGCACCAGGAACGGAAATCGGAGGAGGAAAGGAAAGAGGGAGGAAATATGGGGCGGAAATGCAATGACACTGCATAGCATTTGAAGATGATTTATATAGGTTGCAATTTGCTATCAACGCGGCTTTGAGATTTTAGAAGAGGTTACGGTTGATAGCTTGGCAAAGGTGGGAAATTGGATTTTTTGCATCTGTCATCGCAATTTCCCTTTTTTGCACTAGCGACGTTCATATTCGCGCGTGACAAACCCGAATTTGCGTTGGCGTCTTCAAAATCCCGCACTTTCGCACGTTCCAAAAATTGTCCAAACGTTTGAGCGCGGGTAGTACTCTAGTACACCGTTCATCCTTCATATCATCGTAACAACAAAAACTCAGACATCCAAAAACATGTCATTATGTTATGAATTTATCAAACAAATAGCCGCCATTCGTTGTTTTTGCGTGGTGTAATAAATGGCTGTGGGTCATTTGTAAGGGCCGCAATTTCGGCCAGAAAGGGAAATTCTTTATTGTTAGTCGAAATGGGTATTTTACATTAAAAAAAGATATTTTTAGTCTTGATTTGTAGACGAAAAGATCAAATGTTCGAAAATTTTCGATTAAGGTTTTTTGAAAACTCGGTGAAAAAATTTTTAACACTGTGTCAATATCAACGCCTAGAAGCCTAATTTGATTTGGGAACCTGCAAATACGCATAGTTTACCTTCTAAGTGTTCTAGTGGTCTAGATGTTCTGTCTTTGTTGTTACTCAACTGAGACCGTTTTGCGTTTTTTGGTATGTATTATTTGTTTGTTCTGGGGGTGGCTTCGGCATGAGATTGTAAGGTTACATTTGTTAGACCAACGCGTTTGTTGTAGCGATTTTCATAGGTTTTTTTCAAGGTTTGTTTAGACTTTGTTACCGTGCCTGTCTGGTACGATGTTAATTGATTAGGAGTTCACAGGCGCTGTTGAAATATTCAACGATTTTTGCCGACGAAAAACAATATAAAATGGCAAGAAAAGGAAAACGAAAAACAACGCTATGTTGCTTTACGAGTCCTGAACGGAAATCCTTTGTTTTTTAATGCCGAGTTGGTTGTCATGTCGAAGGCGCTCACTGAAAAAGTGGTCCCAATTGGTATCATGTATTATGGAAATCTGAGGAGCCTCGTACTCCATGCACTTCAGATATTCCGTTTCCTTCAAATCGAACATTCCGTGAGCCTCTTTTATATTGTTTTAAATCCAATTCATGCCCTACTTGTATCCGGATTTAGACTTCTTTGATAAATTTTTCTGACAAATTCTGCGCTGTCTTATGCTTTTTCACCGCCTATTTAGGCAATATTTTTGGTAAAACCGGGTTGTCCGTCAATTTCGCGACTTTGATCCGGAGTTGGCATTTACATAGTATGTTCTTTATGCAACCATTATATTGTCCGTATTCGAGCTTCACGTGGTCTCACACATTAAATAATGTTTAGTTAATGCATTTTTGTCGCACAAAATTGGCACCACACTACAGAAATCATCATTATTTTCCTGTTTCTTGATGTTTATAATCATGGCGCTTGCCCTTTTTTATTATACACCGGGAGATCCCAAAATTTTTTTAAATCCACGTCATCTGCATTTTATGTTTACGGAAAACGTGTACTGTATCTTGGAGACACGTTAATGACCTTTAAGATGGTTGCAAGGATCACATTGCAATTTCCATGGGATTCTTCCTCGTAAGACGTCAAATGTCTTTCCATTCAAGACAAATTTGGACAGAAATACAGGGTCTTTCAAGAAACGTGAAGGAAAGTAGGAGGCTATAACTTTCGGTGGAGGCGGCGCAGAGAGCTCGTTTTTGGAATATGTATTTTTAAGCAACATTATTTTTTGCCTACGAAATAACAAGCTTTTAGAGTGCAAACTGAGGTCGCTACGACCTTCTGAAGTAGAGGCATCTCTACCCCGAAAACCAGGTTTTTTCGGTTGAAAATGATCGTGAAATTTCGGTCTTTTTCGGTTGAAAATCATCAAGAAATGTCGGATTTTTTCGGGGGTTTCGATAGAGTTGACGTTGAAAAAAGGGAAGGATGTTGCCAACACGTTGGAAATTAAGCAAATATTCGGCTACTCTTTATTCTGACACTTTGGCTAGCCAGTTTTTGCTAGCAGTTTAAAAGTTTGGTTGTCATTGCTGCCCTTTGACGCCCATTACACCCTTTGACTAGTTTTTATAAGACTTCACAGCCATTCTGGTGCCTTGGCTAGCCGATTCCAGGTTCCTCAAATCCCTAAATGATGTCACGCTTCTTCGCGGAAGATACTGAAAAATAAACTCGAAATCTGCCCCAAGTTGAGGCTAGCCGAACATTTGCTTAATTTCCAACGTGTTGGCAACATCCTTCCCTTTTTTCAACGTCAACTCTATCAAAACCCCTGAAAAAATCCGACATTTCTTGGTGATTTTCAACCGAAAAAGACCGAAATTTCTCGATCATTTTCAACCGAAAAAACCTGGTTTTCGGGGTAGAGATGCCTCTACTTCAGAAGGTCGTAGCGACCTCAGTTTGCACTCTAAAAGCTTGTTATTTCGTAGGCAAAAAATAATGTCGTCTAAAAATACATATTCCGAAAACGAGCTCTCTGCGCCGCCTCCACCGAAAGTTATAGCCTCCTACTTTCCTTCACGTTTCTTGAAAGACCCTGTATACCGGTTTAGTTGTTTTTTTTTGTTGACGAAGAAACAGGAATTGAATGCAAAATGTTGCCAATGAATAATTAATTTACCCTCTGACAATGTGGGTGGATCTGAGTAATTGGTTTTTGTGCTAAAGTAGTTTCCGAAATAGGTTAGGGCATGTTCATCACTTTTTGAATTAGTAAATGCAAAAAGATAATTTATACGAAAAGTGCAACAATACTAACATGTATTGTGCCTGATTTAGTTGTTTCTTTTAAAATCGAATTTGTCTTTCGTTAATTTGAACTTTGATGTAATTGAATCGTAATGCTGATGTATGTAATTTGTCATTACTTCCTCAAAATGGGAATCATTTGCGATAACAAAGTTTTTACCAAAGTAGATGAGGCAGTCTTTGCGCAAAAAGTGGTTGATTTTTGCCAACGTTTAACTTATAGTTAAAAATTTTGATCGTTTCTGCACAGAAAAAGCAAACTTTTATGCAAAACGACTACAACCAAATTTTGAGCCTTTTAATCTTCTTATTGCTTTTAATTTGTAAAGACATCAACTCACCGTGCTTGTGTTATAAATTGTGCTACTCAAGAATCTCTACGTCAAAGTTTAGTACAATTTTTTTTCGGAGGGTGTGTGACTGATTTCCTTTATCGTCTTGGTTCTGTTCCCATGCACTACAAATCCTTGTAATATGTATATATGACCTTCTCTTTGGCTATTATTTATAGCCAGAGGACATTGGTTGAAATTGTAATCGACAGCTTGAGGGGCTGAGAAAACATTATTGTCATCGCATTGAAATTCCCACAGTAATGTTTATAAAAGAAATGTTTGGGGATTTTTCTCAGAGGTTCCCTTCCGTAAGGATGGTTTGGCCGGATTCTTATTAAACCCATAAATTAACCTGACGTAAATTAAGATCAAAGTATTTAGGACGTCGGCGAAATTTTTAGTTTGAACCCTCGGACGAGATAGGGGTTTGTAGGTCAGAAATGGATACAAAGAGGCCTTTGACGTCTGGTGTAGAGATTTAAGAACAACTTACTTTATTTTGTGCAAATTGAGGCATGGCCGAAGCACATATTTCTTGTACCGTCTCCCCTCGAGATCCATTGTCTCTCTTACGAAATGATTGTTGAATACCTTGGCTCTCCCTGCGAAGAGATGGCTAATACCCTCGGCCGTTGCCGTTCTAATTTGCAGGAATTTTGAAGAAATTCGGAGGGCTGCAACTCTGTTTGTGATGACTATAATTTTTATCATGAATAATCGGCATAAGGCCGGAAGTCTTATTGATTACAACTCAAAAATTGAGATATCCTGTTTTTACTTTTCTCTGATTTTTTATGCTGTTTATTGTATTGCAATCTTGCATTGATAAGCTTTAAGTCAACTTATCCTTTAAAAAATCTTTTGCAACTTGTAGTTAGCTTTCAAGTGTTACACAATTGACCGTCTTTGGTTATTTAATCGCGCGAATTTTTGCACTGTGCATCTATACGATTTAAATATTAGTTTCATTCATTTTCAGGGATGATGTTGAGTTGGAAAGCCGGTCTCTCCGAGGCAATTCAGTTTATTTTCAATGTTGGCGCAGTGTTTTTCAACCTAATCTTTATTAACATGCTGCGCAGAGAGTATTTCCATCTGAATATGAGGATTATTTTGGTAAGCGGAATCTTTTGTTATAGTATTGATGCTGATTTTTTGGAGTTTTATTTGAATTCTGAGTTCCGTTTTTTGGATGGAACCGCCGTTCTTCCGGTAATGGATAATGTTTTTCACACGTTGGGGTTGAATTAGGCCGTTTCCCGCGTCTCATTGCGCTTGAAATTGGATACATATTTGTGTTTTTGTTCCTTTGCGTGGAAAATTAAGGTGTTGGCTGCAGGGTCATGGAGAGTTCAAGGGAGAAAAATTTGGTCAAGAACTATCAAAAGAAGTGGTTAAAGCGCAACACTCACATTCTTAAGACACATGCCTTGCAGGCGAACTACAGGGCAAGCCGAGGTTTTAAACGACCCTCGAACCAGACTCTTGCTAGGGCTCTAGTTTTTCTCTTGCAAATTTGCCCTAGGTCTTATAAAAATCCAAACTCTGTACTAGCACCATGGGCCGTACTTGCACTTCAACTCAAAATAACCGAAAAACTTTAATCTTTTTCAGGCACTAAACGCACTATCTCTGATCGTCGCCCAGCTATCAGCACTCCTTAGCGACAACATTATTGACCATTTACCTTATGATATGGCCAATGCAAAGTCTTTCATCGATGTAATGCGGGATACAGCGTTGAATGTAAATACTTTTATGGTGGTCCCTTTGGTCGGGGAGCGAATTGTTGCCAGCTTCAGTAGCCGACGCTATGAAACGTTGGGACGGCCATGGTATATGTTCTACGCACTGAGTTTTGTTTCCCTGTCGGTAAGAGAGATTGATTCTAAGAAAGTTTTACTACATATTAGGCGTGTAATAAGCTGTCCTTTCAGTGGATTCTCAACGCTCTTGCCGCATTCTACACGGAAGATATCCTCAGGAACTTTGATCTTACCGGGCACCTAGCCAAGTTACGGCCAGAAGCCGAGGGTAACAAATACTGGTTAGTGTTGTACTACGGCGCCGGCGGAGCGGTCAACATCATTTCAGTATTAGTAAGCGCAACCGGTTCATTCGACATTTGTGGTTTAGATATTTATCGGGCTCTACAAATACAACCAGTATCGATATGAGCGCGGTATGGATTTGAACCATCACTCCTTGTCGCTGAGGTATCAATTGGCGGAAAATGTGAGAACTGGAAAGCAATTGATGCCTGTGGCATTTCTAACTTCTGTTACGTAAGTTGTTTTCTTTTTTTGGCAGTTAATTTCAATTCTGCCTAAAATTTGACCTCATACGATTAGCGTCGAATGTGTCTATTTTAAGGCAGACATTTTACGGGTTCGTCCTCACCGGCGCTGTTTGGTCTGCATTCACCAGCGAGTTTATGGAAGCGATGTTGCTCATCATCCCTCCAACCTGTGCGGTAACGGCAACGTTGACGCCGTTAGTTCACATTTGGTTCCACGATACAATGAGAAGATCGATTCTGAGCTCGTTGCAAATCGAGCATTCGCACACATCTCACTGTCAAGTGGAAGGGCTGGACGGAAAGAACTTAATTGTGGAGAAAAACGACACACCGGCGGTTCATTTCCAGATGCTCACAAAGAGCTGGCTGTAAATCGCGTTTTACTATTATCATTACTTGTGTGTTATATTTAATGTTTGGATCTTTGATTGTCATTCAAGAAGTCTTATTTAGACCTTTTGTTTCATAGAATTCTACTGTCAAAGTTTAACGTAATTTATTAATTCCAGAAATTGTTTGTGTATAATGCGTACAGCCTCGGAAATAAAATTAATGGTGCTGTGGGCGATAGGGCTTGAGATTCAAAGGTTTTGTTTTTCAATACTCTTGTTTCATGATGATATTAATCGAGCGATTCTATATTTGCCAAACAGAAGTTCAATCCCTGACTCAGCGGTGTCTGAAAGATGTAGCGTCATATATGATATGCACATATGATAACACGGACTGGGCTGGGGTAATTGGCGGACCGCTACACAGCGTTTCGAACATTTTTTCTGCCGCCGTTCGGTGTCGAAAAAAGGAAAAAATGAAAACTAGTGCTTACAAGTCGATGTATATTTGGCTAGCCACAATAAATGTAACTAAACTAAAAAGTGGTTGTTTGACTATAAGAGATTGCCATTCCACGTATACAAACTACATCATCATACCTTACGCTGTGCGCTAGAAGCTAAGATTGGGTGCATCCCATGTTCATATTTCTCTGACAACAGACATACGTGCGGTTCTGGTTCTCTGCCCACAGTATACATCTATATTGTAGAATGCAATACGTAAAAAATGAGACATTTCATAAACTGATATATTGTAGAAAAACACCGAGCACAAAAACATGTTTTATTTTTCATATGATTTTCACTTTTTGGGCAAGATTTTTGCAGGTTGGCTTGCATGTCGCCTGGGACATTTGCAGGCAACTGATTTTTTGCCCATATGCGGGCTATCAAACTTGTCTCATTTCTCTATTCCCTCGCAAGTATTTCCAAATTGTAAGTAAGAGTTCATATCTTGGTTGTATTTCGGAGCTCGTCCCTATAGCTTTCAATGGAATTGTAAAGAATATTAAACCTTGCGAGACGGAGGGAACTCGGGGACCGTAGCAAGGGAATAATATTTTTCAACGGCGAAATGCGAGGAGAGGAGATTCTGTGAAGACCGTCAGAACAACTGCGTAATTTCGTCTGTTCCTTAAAAGAGCGGCTAGTTGCTAATCAACGGATGATTCTTGTAATAATACCACCAAAGTCTTACTTACCATCGCGTACCCTTGCAAGGAGAAGCACTAAAACGCGCACCAAGCGAAATGTTCTGTACAAACGAGCATGCAATTAGGCGGTCACAGTACACCAGGAAGAAATGTCTGATTAGTTTGGGCGCCCGGGGCCGGTTTGCGTCAACAGTTAGCTATATAAGATATTAATTTATGCACTCATTATAACATTACCTCTGTAACCTTTGCCTGTGGCATTTTCGTCTATGTCGTCTTCAAGGCCGTACAAAACAGTTTTGTACTTTTGCCACTTAAGCTACAGTTTACACTCCATCATCTTCTATGAACACCATTTAGGGCGTAACTCCAATCCTAACCAATTGTGAAAGCTACAAACTAAAACTTGTTCGAAGCAATTTTATAGAACCTGACGACTTTATTTTCTTGGCCTGGTCGTCATAAAGAAAGGTTAATCTAATAGCCCTAATGGGGCAGACAAAGGAGTAATGTTTCTTTTAGATGTTTGCTTTTATGGCAGGTTTTATGGCACCGGAGTTAATTTCAGGTATTATGGTGTTGTGACTTGTTACAAACTTGCAGTCAATTCAACAAATAAAATCGTTTTTGATTCTCCAATTTTTGCTTCTTGTAATCGAAATCATTAATCAGTTATAAATAATTAAAACTTTTTTGCATTTTTGTTTCATATCTTCACTTGGAATTTGTAATTTATACATACATTAGCAGCAGAGCTCGAACATCTAATTCCTTTTTACTCATGCGGTCGCTGATAGTTTGGACTTTTGATCTCTTTGTTACCATATCCATTGCAAAAAGATTGTAAGCAGTGGGGCGCTTCAACGTGCATGTTCCTTTGCAGATATCTTAATGACGATTGCTAGAATAGCTTGGATTTTCTGTAGCGACTTCTACGAGCTGTCAAATATTTCAAGCCTGAACGTGTTATTTAGCCACTTCGCTGACATTACTTTCTCTGCTCCCACGCAAATCTAATTACGCCTTGATATTTGTTTATCTTTGGTCTGTGAGTAATGATGGTATAAGGAAGTACAAAAGAGATATTTCCCTTTAATGATTCCGAAGAAGGTCTTATGATGATGTTACGGAAAGTTCATAGTTTACTAGGGTATTCTTTTGGTTCTTTATGAAACAATTCAGCCTAAGGTTTCTAACGATAAAAACGATTACAGTTTTGTAACTTACTGCCTTTTGTTAAGTATTCAGTCCTTTCACGATATCTCTTATTCCATTTCCAGACGTATGTACCTCCTTTGACCTCTGCTTGAATAATTGATGTGGAGCCCTGTACTATTAGGGCAACACTGAACGAACGCCTTCACGTGTCTGGACTTTGTCGAACAAAAGTTTTGCATTCCAGGCATTATCCAATTAAGTCTTTTTTCTATGCATATTTCAGCTGCCGTATTTAAATTCTTTTACTCTCGTTGTCCGCAAAACATTTACTCAAGGCCAGCTGCCACAATAACTTTCTCAGCACAATGGTGTTTCATCGACTGCCCACGTCTTAAGTTGGTTCAGTATGGATAAACTTGACCCGTACAAGTGGTCGGTACTCCCAGGAGTGGCGCTGACGATTGGCTTGGCTGCGATTGGAATTTTTGGCAACAGCAACATTGTTTGGGCTACTGTCAGGAAAAGGTAATTTTTTTTAATTGACACTGGATATACTTTTCTGCACTATGTAATAGCTTGCACACGTCAAACACGAAGGGAACTTTCTGATTTGAATTTTTGCTCCGTACTTTATAAGTGCACTTAACATTTTTTTTAAATATGAAAAAAACTTTGAAAACATACCTTGCTATAGGTTTTAATACTTCAATCCGTCCTTAAGATATGTACCGTAAGCATTAGATGGTGAGCCATGACAATGAAGGTTAACGGTTTTGTCAAAGCTGGTACAAAAAGGACACTCAAATCTTTTGTGAACAAAGCCACAGGGCAATCCTTTTATTCAGAATACTGTAATATGTATTATACCTCAACGGCTTAAATTATCTTACAGGTGCAAAGATTTTTTCTGTGAATAACTAGATATTTCAATGGGCTCGCATCGCTAAATCACTTCATAGAATTTCTTTTGATAGTGTTTTTGGTACAGTGTTTGTTTTCAGCCGCCTACGTTCGACGTGTAATCTCATCATCGCTGCAACAGCTCTCTCAGATGTTTTTCATCAATCAGCCCACATAATTTTTGCCTACTTCTACCTCAGCGGAAACCCTTTTCGGCGAATGGATTTTTGTTTCCACATTTTTGCAGTGTCTGCATTCAATATCTGTTTTGGTGCGTTTTTAGTGCTGTCCATCGGAATCGACCGGTTGATCTGCGTATTGTTACCCACAACGTAAGCCTGAGAAAAGATTAATTATTGAAGCTTTTAAAAAAATATACGATGTGCGTAGTTTGTATATTTTTGACGGGTTCATAAAAAAAGACTGATTGCAGATACAATCAAACAAATAAAACATTGTACCTCTTTTTCACAATGGTTCCTCCCACCGCATACAGCTTATGGATTTTGTATTACTGTTACATTGAGGTGGTGGATGAACGGTAAGCTTGTGTTATGCCCTCTACTTTTATTTTATTCACCTGAACATATTGAAATACTTCAAAACAATTCGTATGGTGCCTCATAACGAGCTTTCATTTGTCACAGTTTTTTAACCTAAGTGCTTTCAGCCAAGTTGTCGCAATGGTTGCTGAAATCTTTGTTGGCAAAGCGCACACCTACTGGCATTCAGCGCAAGCTGTAATCTACTTCGTTACCTTGATTGTATACGCCTGGTTATGGTTTGTTGTGAAGGAAAAGGCAATCGGATCCGCGTCGAAGCGGCTGATAAAGTCGCTGAGTTTTGTAATGCTGACATTGGTCATCGGTTGGCTGTTTGTTGGAGCGTTCACAGTGGGTTATGGAAGTACGCATGAAGTGGTTACCCCCTCTGATGCCTACTTCTTCCATATGAATTTAGGATGGCTGATCAATCTTGGAATGGCGGCCAACTATTTTATTTATTTTCATTTCAAGTAAGTGGCGGCAATAGCGAAATAATTCGCGATAAAAACACCAAGTCTCACCTCTCTTTTCAGCGACGACTATCGCAGAGCCTTCGCGGAACAGTTGGGAATTTTGACTTGTGGCCTATGGAAACCGATGGAAAAGGACGTAAATTCCACAAAAGTTTTCGCCACATCTCGTACATTTACTTCGTGAATTATGAATGTTTCTATATACATATTAAATACAATATATTTGTTGGCTTTAATAAAAGCGTTGGTGTTTCTGAACGTTTGTATTGGCTAAAAAAATACAATAAGCCAAAACAAGGTGATGTCAAGCAGTTTCGGCGCTAAGGTAGTACAACCCCCAGTCCAGCTCAGCCCCCCATGACCCAGTACAACCCCCCTCATTCTGAACCCACAAAATTTATCCAAGTTGTATGATCCAGCAACAAGCCCCGTACGTTTTAGATGAAGCCCCTACGTGTTAGATCAAACCCCCAATTACCGTGAATGAATCCCTTCAGAATTTAAATTATTTGTTGTTTCAATAGTGCACTGTACACTTAACCTATAGTAATTGTAAGTGATGTTGACGTTTTTTAGGCGTAATCATCGCAACGGAGACCAAGGAGACTACTCTAGGCTTATCTCCCTACGCTACAACCCATAGAGAGCGCTGCAGAGGCACCTTTGACCATATGCTCGAGATTAATGTAACTTCCATAGCATAACCAGGTTTGGGTAACTGCGCCTGCAAAATTAGGTTTTGAAAATTGCTTCCTTTCATTAATCCATCACTTCTTTTGTTGGGAAACTCAAGCATTTTGAAATGTTCAAAGACCTTGCAGTGCTCGAATTGAAAACATTTATTGTGGCTAGGTGGAAATAGTGAAAACAGTTTCTTATGGAGCAAATAGATCCATACAACCCCGCTGTTTTTCCGGGAATATTCCTTACTATTGGCCTTGGAATCGTTGGGATATTTGGAAACGCAAATATTGTTTGGGCTTCCGTAAGGAATCGGTAAGGTCATAGCAAAGATGCCGAGTAGAATAGTTGGCCAAACGTTGAGGCAACGTCTACAAGTCGTTTCGAAACGGAACTTGCCACGGTTTGTTCAAAAAAAAATAAATAAAAGCTTATAGACTTAAAGTTATTTGCGCCTAAGTTTGTTGGCAAGAAACAGGATGCAATAATTACCGCGTATTCCAGCCGTCTACGCTCAACCTGCAATACGATTATCGCCGTCACGGCCTTGTCTGACATCTTTCACCAAGCAGCTCACCTTGTTTTTGCTTACTGCTACCTATCCGGAAATCCATTCCTTTCCATTGAGACCGCTTTTTACATTTTTCTTATTCCGGCGTTCAACATGTGTTTCGGCGCTTTCTTGGTCTTATCCATTGGAATCGACCGGTTGTTCTGCGTGTCCTTCCCTTCATTGTGAGCATTACAAACAAACCCCAATGAAATTTTCAGATACAGCAGGGTGGAGTCCAACATGTATCTCGTTCTGACCATGATACCTCCAGCAGTTTACAGTATTATAATACTATATCAATGTTATATCCAAGTAGAAAAATTTAAAGAACGGTAAGACGAAAGTTCAGCCTTTGAAACATCGATGGCATATTCTATTTTCCAGGCTCATAATTGCAATGATAGCCGAAATTTTTGTCGGTGACTCTCACTACTATTGCAACGTCTCTCAAGCAATTGTATACCTTTTGAGCATCATTGTGTATACCAGCTTATGGATTGTTGTCAGAAAAAAGTCTGCAGAAGTATCGACTAAAAAATTGGTCAAGTCGCTGAGCTTTATAATGCTGTCCCTTCTGGTGGGTTGGCTGTTCGTTGGAGTGTTCACAACAGTCTACGGAAGAACGCACCCCAATATAAGTCATGCCGATTCGTACTTCTTCCATATGAACATTGGATGGCTGATTAATTTAGGGATATCGGCAAACTACTTTATATATTTTGCTTTCAAGTAAGTGCTTGTAGATAAGCTACGCAATTTCACAGTGACGAATATCGACGTGCATTTTCCGGACAGCTAAGAATATTGACGTGCGGAAGATGGGTGGCTCAGCGATCGGGATCTGTCGGTGCGACGTTCGTTACTTCTCACACCCCTACCTTTTAAGGGCGTCATGTTTTAGAACGCATTAAGGTTTGCTTGGCAGCCTCGAAAAGATTCTGGATGCAATGGTCAAAATTTCCTTATTGGAATCCAATAAATTACACAATCGAAAGAAAACGAAAAAAGTCTATGTATTGCGGAAAAATAATTTTTTACAATTTGTCGTTGTAACACAAAAGTTTAAACAGTATCCAGCAGAAACATGATCCGTAAAGAGCTAAGTGAGTTTTGGTTAAACTGGAGCCAAAATCATACTCCCGGACATACAGTAGCTGCCAAAAAGCTGTCATTTTTTTGTTTTTTGTGTAACTCTGCTCAACATTACTGCCCATCAAAGGGAGCCAAGAAAATTACTTTAAATTACTTTGGTGGTGCCAAGTTCGATACCCCAAAACGTGACGTTTAAGGAAAAATCGGTTTTTTTCTTGGACTTAGCAGTAAGGCAATTCCTGGCAGTTGAAGGTAGACAACCTACAATTATAATAAAAAAATGATTATGAACCAAAATGTAAGTCTACGGACTTCACTTGATATTCAAGTTTCTCCGGCAGTAGACGTACCGTAGAACCTTAGCCTATGTGCTTTCGTAGATACCTCTAATGGTAGTTCCAAGGTCACAGAAGACACACAAGTGAATAGCGAACAGTTTAGAACCACTACCGCCACCGGCCCGAACTTTACGCGAAAAATAACCAGCTCCAAAATGGAACTTTTGAAGAAAAATTGGTGTCTTGATTTGCACTCTTTATTTCTACAGAAGCTCGATTGCCGGAGAAACTTGAATATCAACTGGAGTCCATAAACTTTACATTTTGGCCCATAATTATTTTTTTATTATAATTGTAGGTTGTCTAGCTTCTACGCAAGGCATTGTCATATTGCTAAGTTCAAGAAAAAACCGATTTTTCCTTAAACGTCACGTTTTTGGGTATCGAACTTAGGACCACCAAAAGGTGTATAAAAGTAATTTTCTTGGCTCCCTTTGACGGTCAGTAATGTGCAGTGGGACTTTATTTAATAATCAGAATATATACGCCCATGATTCGCTGCGGCGTATGCAAGCTTTAATTTTTTTTGGAAAAATTGACAGTTTTTTGTCTTTCCAAAAATTTTACGTCGACAATTGTTACACACTAGGATGTAAAATCACCTCAATGGTTATGCCATTGATAACAGCAACAATTCTCTACAGAATGTTGTCAGTTTCGTTTAAATCCATCCACGTTGAGCAGAGTTACGCAAAAACAAAAAAATTGACAGTTTTTTGGCAGCTACTGTATATTTCTGACCACCCTGTAGCTCGGTTGTTAAATAATTGTGCTACATGTTCCAAATTTTTTGCCTTTGCACTATAAGGGCAGTTTTTTTTGGCAATTTTCAAAAAAATAGTGGACAAAACTTTCTGATCACTTGGGTAAATTGCATGGCAGATTCCGCCTGTCATGCCAAGTTTCAAACTGATTGGGTTACATTTACTTGAGATATGGGTGGTCAAAAATGTATGTCCGGGACTGTGCGTTGTATGAAAAGGCCAGCCGCCGTAATGTAGCGTGTTTATCTAATTTTGGATAAACACGCTACATAAGTTTTCTTGCGTTACTCTCAGGATTTGGTTTGAAACTGCGTAGTTCACGAGTTTTGTTTAAGGTGGGACTACATTTATTCGAGTATCTTACAAGAATAACCGAAGCGTTATGAAAGAGACTCGTCAATGCAAAGGCACTTTGCTAGTTGCAAAACGCGCGGTTGTATTTCATTTTTTATATGTTTCTGGGAATAATGTATACAATGGAACCTGTGTTTAGCAAGCCCCGGAGTACGAAACCTATACGTTTAACGAACGGTGTGGATGTACCACGGGCAATTATGGGTAAAAACTTTTGTAGTGTAAAACCCTTGTACGTATACAAGAAATAGATTTTTGGGTCCATTTCGATTTGCACTACATACAGGTTAATGTAGGATGTAACTCCATTAACCCGAAATCCGTTTTCAATTTTCTGCAGCAGTGGCTCGAGATCATAAGTCAATTCTAATTTATTTCATCTTTTTATATTAATTACTGTTTTCATTTTTCAAAAAAGTGGACAAATATACTTACATGTATATGATTAAAAAGTATTTCCATATTAGTTATGATTTAATTTAAATGGAAAATAACATGTGATTACTAATAATTTTCGACAGTTGCTCAGTCTTGTGTGGTTAGTTAAATTAGAGGATCCGTCGAGAGGCCCGGGAAGGCGAGAGCTCAAGAGTCAAGCGATTTATTCAGTAGAAAGGAAGCCCTTTTATAGGGAAACCTCACGTAGGAAAGAACAATCCAATTTGAATAAATGAACACAGTTCCTCGTGGGAAAATCGTCGAAGCTCGGTCTTTCCGCCTCACAGGAGCCTAACTGTTTGCATAGTTTTTGCAACAATCGTCTGCTGAGGTTGCATTAGCATGGACATGTAAAAGTAACTAACAAGAAAAAGTTTACAGTTTATGTATTGATTGTTGGAGGCCCCTAAGCATATCGGCTGGGTAAAGCCAACCAATTCACAGTAGTCGATAAACAGCACTTAACGAGAATCCTCAGATTTCGCGTTTCAAGTGCTTTACTGATTTGCAGCCTAAGTCATTCTTTTAGCAGTACAAAGTTCTCATCAAATGGACTTGTATTTTCGCCGTCACGACCAGTTTCTACAGCTCTACAACTGTTCCTTCTATGACACAGAGGTATATCCGCGCGCAGAGAGGGCATCCATAAATGGGGGAATTCTATTTTTGCTCTCTGGCTTTCTCGAAGAACTCCTTTACATACTTGTAGTCTATGTATTAATAGACAGGAGTTTGCTGCAGAGTCTTTGTTACAGAATCATGCTGATTTTGGCCATATTGGATATGGCTTTATTGCCTGGTTCGGCGTTTGCCACGTCTTATTTTTTAATGAAAGGCACAGTGTTCTGCGACCATCCAACCATGATTTATTTCATCGGAGTATGGTTGTTGGGTAAGCGTAAAGTTTTCGGAAAACGCATAGGACTATACGAATAACTGTGATTTTTCAGCACTCTGGATGGGTTACGCATTATATGCAATAATCTTGGCGTTAAATCGTTGCGTCTCCTTCACACGCCTTGACATGTATTTCAAGGGAAATTGGGAATATTTTTGGTTAATCTCGCCTTGGTTTATGATTCTGTATCATTTCTTGTATGGAACTCCAGTCATCTTTACTCCGCAATATTATGGATGGTTCTTCAATCCACATATGGGATATTTTGAGGACATTGATGGACAGGTAAGGCCAGTTTATTGGAGCCTGTGAAGTCGCATTGACTGGTCGTGTCTAACAATAAATCAACGTTTTAGTACTTTAATTGGGCGCATACAATAGAAAACATTATTGTAGCAACAGCCATCCCTCTGCTTTACGTTGTTTTCTTCTTCTACGTTAAAAAAATTGGCAAAGGACGAACTAATGAGCCGCGCGACGACAAGAATGTAAGATCGTCTTCGGTGGCGTTAATAAGATTTTTTATTGAAGCTTTTCGGCCAAATTCTTACTATGAGTTTGATTATCTCGGCGGCTGCTGTGACTTATTTTGTGATGCAACTTTCGTTCACGCCATATTGGGTAAAGTGTACCGGCCATTACGGGTGGATAATTGTGCAAGGTAAGGGAAGACCTTTTTTGAGCGGTGTGCGGTGTGGGGGTGCTAGTTGTACGTCTGCCCATACACTATTACAAATAAGGTATTTGACCTTATTCGGCTGCGCCTGCTTTGCGCAAGCTTGTATTGGATGGATGTTTGATCCAGTTACTCACATAGTGGAAGCTTAAATTTCACTGTGCGAGGAAATCCATGACTTTGCAGAACATTAGTGATACATCACTTCTCTTCAGGTTGCCCAGCAGTAATCTACCTGACCAGCAATCGGACTTTTCAGAAGAAATTGTTCGGGAAAAGATCACGCGGTGTCGGCAATTCATCGACGACAAAACCCCTATAGCCAGGAGAAATCCAACATATGAATTGGTAAAATTACACATTCAACCGCGCATTGTTTGAAAAGTACAGGGTCTTACAAAAAACGTGAAGGAAAGCGGAAGGCTATAACTTCTGGCGGAGGCGGCGCAGAGACTTCGTATTTGAAATATGTATTTTTAAAAGACATAAGTTTTTGTCTACGAAATAACAAGCTTTTAAAATGCAAACCGAGGTCGCTACGACCTTCTGAAGTTGAGGCATCACTACCCCGAAAACCAGGTTTTTTCGGTTGAAAATGATCGAGAAATTTCGGTCTTTTCCGGTTGAAGGAAATGTCGGATTTTTTGGGGGGTTTCGATATGGGTGATGTTGAAAAATATGACGAAAGTGCCAACACTTGCAAATTATGCACGTTTTCTTAAAGACTACATCAAGAAACCCCAAAAAATCCAACATTTCCTGGTGATTTTCAACCGAAAAAGTCCGAAAATTCTCGATCATTTTCAACCGAAAAAACCTGGTTTTCGGGGTAGAGATGCCTCTACTTTAGAAGGTCGTAGCGACCTCAGTTTGCACTCTAAAAGCTTGTTATTTCGTAGACAAAAACTTATGTCTTTTAAAAATACATATTTCAAATAAGAAGTCTCTGCGCCGCCTCCGCCGGAAGTTACAGCCTTCCACTTTCCTTCACGTTTTTTGTAAGACCCTGTAATAAAGAAACTTTGTTTCTTGAAATTGTTGATGTTATTATGTGTATGATAGGCGGAGAATTGCTTATGGTGCGCCGTTAAAATTTGGGTTTGTGAAATATATAGCAGGTGTTATTCTTGGGAGTTGCTCAATAATATGTAGTTATCAAGCCGGAAAGGAGGTCCTAATTGTTGGTTATGTCTGCTACTATTAGGCTCTCCTGCAAAATTTTTTAAAAGCCCCAAAAAACTGTTCGTCGGTTCAGTCTAGACATGGCTGGGGGGCCGGGCCGGGCCGAAAATCGCGGCCCGGCCCGGGGGCCGGAAGGAGTCGGCCCGGCCCCGGCCCCCTTCAAATTTTCTCGGCCCGGCCCGGCCCCGGCCCCCAGGGGGCCGGGCCGGGCCGGGGGCCGACAGGGGACCGAACTGTAAATATAAATTTTTTTTGGGGCTTTGGTAGTTCAGCTCCCTTCGAAAGGTAGTTCAAACCCCCACTGTTTTGTCCATTTCACAACCCCGTAATTAAAAAATTGGAATTATACAAAAAATGCAAATTAGAGTAAAATGACCCCAGGCGTTTTAGTTCAAAGCCCCAGTTAGCGTCCAGATTCGTTTTTGTGGTTCAGGCAACGATGATCGTAGCCGAGAGAACCCAATCCCGAGTAGGCGCTTCAGGTTGGATGAGGGGGTTTATACTGGGTCCAGGGGAGGCTGAACTGAGCTGGCGGGTTGTACTACCCTAGTCCCCATTTTTTTGTTATACCAATCGACAATAAATTTTGACACAAAAAATTACCAACCATTGCCTAAAGTACTTCAAAAAACCCAATCGGTTCTTGGCTCTGCGTTTTATTTTTATTGGCAACCCTAATTTTCGCTTTGAGACTGAGAATTTTAGTCATTGGGGGCCGATTGGGGGCCTGGCGGGGGCCCCGGTCGGCCCGGCCCGGGGGCCGGAAGAGGTCGGCCCGGCCCCGGGGCCTTTAAAACTCGTTCGGCCCGGCCCAGCCCGGCCCCCCGGGGGGCTGGGCCGGGCCGGGCCGGGCCGGGCCGGCCCGGCCCACTAGCCATGTCTAGTTCAGTCTGAGCAAAAACGAAATTTCTTTTTGATGGACTTATATTTCAACCGCCACGACCGGTATCTACAGCTCTATAACTGCTCTTTTTACGACCCTGAGATAAGCCCACGGGGATCGCGAGTGTCCATTAATGGAGGGCTTCTATTCTTCTTTTCCGGTTTGATTGAAGAGATCCTGTATGTCCCGGTGGTATACGTATTAGTGGACAAAGAGTTGCGGCAGTTTTTATGCTACCGAATTATGCTGATGTTGGCGGTTTTGGACATGGTAATATTGCTGGGCTCGGCGTTTGCAACCGCGTATTTTTTGATGAACGGTATCGTATACTGCGACCATCCAACATTTATGTATTTTCTTGGATTGTGGATGATGGGTAAGAAAAAGTGACTACTCGCGCACAAGGTCGAGCAATTTATCACTGACCCGCGCGCAAGATGCACGTCTGCAGTGCAAAACATGAAAAATATAACTGTAAACGGAAACGTTGAAGTTTTAGCGCTCTGGATGGGCTATGCTTTGTATGCCATTATCTTAGCGCTAAACCGCTGCGCTGCCTTTACAACCATGGACGTCTATTTCAAAGGAAACTGGCAATACTTTTGGCTGATCGGGCCTTGGTTTATGGTCGTCTACCAAGCAGCGTTTGGAAGCCCAGGGATATTCATTCCACAGTATTATGGATGGTTTTTCAACCCGCATATGGGCTATTTCGAGGACACTGAGGGAAGGGTAAACTGAATGTTTTTATTGCTAAATAGAACCCTATACTTTTACAGTACTTCAATTGGGCGCACAGCATCGAGAACATTGTTGTGGCAACAGTAATCCCATTACTCTATCTTATATTTTATTTTTACGTACGAAGAATTGCAAAGGGACGGACAGACAACATGTCGAGCAATGATAGAAACGTAAATAAATTTAAATGACTAGTTATTAACTCTTAAAAGTTGCAGTTATTTGCGCAGATCTTTATCATGAGCCTAATCATTTCTGTGGCGGCCATGGTTTACTTTTTCATGCAAACCTTATTTTTGCCGTCATGGGTTAAATCGATGGGGCATTATGGATGGATCGTTGTGCAAGGTTAGTGTTGTTAAGAAATACTTACAAAAAAAAAAGAAAGATAAAACAGTAATTTGCAGGTTGTCCAGCCGTTATCTACTTGACCGGAAACCGCACCTTCCAGAAGAAGCTGTTCAAGAAAACGGCACCCGGATCCAACAACTCATTAAGTGCGAGGCAGCAGAAACCAGTAGATACCAAAACTCTTAAGTCCCTTAACTCTTCACCTCTCCCTTGAGTCTCAACCACTAAACATAGATATGCGTTTTGCATTTTGATATAGCGTTTTTCTACATTCTCCAATTTTATTACCAATTTTTACCCATACGCGTACAAAGCCAGCACTATATATGCAAGAGCTATAAAGGATTGATTTGACTCTTGTTGTTCTTGGTGGGATCGTTTCCAGCGGAAGAGTGAGTGCTGGATGTGATGCGTCTGTGGAATATTCGGGATTTGAAAGTCTGGTTGAGAGTCAGATAAATGACAGGTGGAGCCCCTGGAAATAGATTAGTTTACTCCTGTAAAATCCAAAAGGCAATGTTTTGTTTTACGCGCAGTTCGGGCATAGGCTACATATCAGCTCCTAAACAGTCAACCTCGTGGCTTTTCATAGTGAAGCACAAGTACAATTTCCCTTACCTTGCACGATCAACCAGATGACATGGCTGATCAGAATTACCCAAGTCGGCATTTTGAACAGTTGCATCATGACATATCCCAGCGCTCCAATACTCAACATCATGCTCACACCAAACACGGTAATGAATAGCTGTAATAAACAATATACAAGTTTATTATTGATGCGCAAATGAGTGTTCCTTGAGTTAACAAAGTACGCTATAAATGATAAGTGCAACCAAGATGATGAGGAAAAGCAAGATGAAATTGAACCATGAAGTAGTCAAATGATAGAAAATGTTGCTGGTTTCACAACGAACTCTTACATTTTTCTCCCGTTTCGAAGCTCCATTTCTTTGCGTCATAAGATTTTTAAGGCACACGTAGAATAGCACGTAGAACGTCGGAATCAAAAGCGCGACCAAAGAATTGTCGATCATGTGGACGTAGTTTACATACTAAAAAATTAAGGGTTTACAAAATAAGAAGCCTCTACAAACGTATTTTATATTATGCATATAGCGTTTAATAAACTTTGGTATTCCAAGACTGAAAATCAATGCAAAAATTGCCCCAGATTACATAAAATATAGCTCTGAGTCTTAACAAATTTTGGGCTAAACCTACGTTCCCTTCCAGATCATCATAATACCCCATATGAGGATTGAAGAACCATCCGCAAAACTGCGCATTGAAGATAACAGGTCGCCCATAAACGGCCTCATATATCGTGTACAGAAGAGGCACAGTATACCAAAAATACTGCCAGTAGCCTTTAAAGAGAAAGTTGGCTCTTGTGAAGCAAACACAGCGATTGAGCGCCAAAATGGTTGCATAGACCGAGTAGCCCATCCACATGGCTAAAAATATCGTTTCAGTAAGCGATTATTTCAATTGAGTTTTCGTGGAAACAAGTTCAAATAGGCTTACAGTAGAGCCATATTCCCATAAAATAAATTACAGTAGGATGTTCGCAAAATACCGCTCCGGTATACGAAAAGTACGCTGTGGCAAACGCTGTAACCGGCAGCAAAAGGACGTCGTAGATTGCCAATATTAACATCATGCGGTAGCAGAATAAATGCCGAAGTTTTTTGTCCATCAGCACGTAGATTACTGGTATGTACAAGATCTCCTCGACTATACCGGCGACCAAGTAGCCCAGGGCGAAACTCAGAGATCGACGGCCTTCTACTGGCCAAGTTGAAGTGTCGTAGAAAGAGCAGTTGTAGTTTAGAAGGTACTCTTCCGGACGCCGAAAGTAGAGATCCATTATTCGGCGGTTGGGTTACTGTATCAACGGATGACGGGAGAATACTGTAATAATGTTATGGAAAGAAGTCTTATTGCGCGTACACAGAAAGAATAAAGGAAATTCGATAAGATTAGTCATGCAAAAGTTTGTCAACACATTTATCAGACCAAAGAGAGTAATCTTAAATCTGTCAAGAGTGCAATGGAAATAATCGCTGCCTAAAGAGGGCATCGAGTATGAGTAGTATATAGGCCCCTCTCACTGCCCCAAAAAGGGGCGGGGCCTATTTTCAATCAGGTAGGGGGAGAGAAGGGAAGAAGGTCACGGTGTAGCCAATATGCTTCTAGATTCATTTCACTGTGTATAATATGTTTTTTTTTGCAATGTAAATGGTACTGGAAACAACGTTTTTTGTGCCCAAATACCTTCTTTTTGCGCAGCTTTTCAAATTTGGGTTCACACGATGATCTTTTGGCAGTCAAGGTTATTTGATTCTGATGTTGCGTCATTGATCGCTACCATCACTGCTATTAATTAAAAATTAAAACTTTTATTAAGCAAGTGAGAATTGTATCGATTTCTTAATATAAGAAAAATTTCGCTGTTAATTCACCCGTTTTGGCAAGAAGCAGATACTATTTTAGGGCAGTCTTAGCGCGAAATTTTAGAATTTTAGGTTAGACATGTGGATTTTTGCGGATAAAATTGGCACACGCCCGAATCACACAATGGGTTATAAATGGAAAAAATTAAGATATCATATAATTAAATATTGCAAATTTTAATGGGCGGAGTCAAGTTAGTGTAAATCTTTCCATTTAACAACTGTTAACTGCAACAACAGTTGTCCTAAGGGATACCAAAGAATGAGTCATAAAGTCCACGTTAAAATCATTCCGAGCTCACGTGAAGGAAATGATTGCCGGAGGCAGGCATGTGTTAGATTTCACAACAAGAAACCGAAATAGCATTAGACAGTTGAGGCTCAAAAAACTACTATTGCTTTTGTTGAATAGTTGTTATAATAGGAGCACTTTCCTTATAAGGAATCTGCAAAAATACGTGAAGAAACCTTTGGATAATGAAATTGCACAAAAGCTCACGCTTGTCCAAAGAGAGATAAAGATTTTTTCCGAAAATTTGCATAATTTATGCAAAAAAAAAAACACAAACTATCCCGCGGATTGTGCGAAAGTGTTTTCTACATGATCTTTTGAATTTCCCACTTTTTATTTTGATTATGTTTACAAATTATTCAAATTTATTTTAAATATTTATTTTTTTAAATATGCAAATTTTAGCGCAAAGGAATAATATTTTTTTATATCTTTGATGAAGTTTGGATTACTCAGTAGTCGTCATCATCTTCGTCTAGATGCATCTCTTGTAGCTTACAACAGGGACATCTGGGGGACAACACCTTGATGGAAGAGGTAGCCAGCAGTGAAAGATAATGAAGACCATCCATTTTTCCGCGGTTAATGAACCCTGAAAGAACGATTCGGTTTCCGATTTCAACCTCTTCTAACAGAGAGCGCGCCGAGTCATGCGCCATTATCATGTAATAATCATTTTCAGCTAGGGCCAGCGCAAAACTCGGTTCTTCTTCACTATCTGAATAATGACAAAATTCAATTGAGACGACTAGAGGAAGCGACATTTGAAGACAGGAAAAAACTTGCAATAGAATTTTGACCAAATTTCTCTACTTTATACTGATTTAAAGGGGGAGGAGCAAATTTGCAACATCCCAAATTCCGCCTACGCAGCAACTGTTTCCTGCCAACAATCTGTCACAACTGTTTGTCACAAATCAATGTCACAATGATTTTCTCAACTGTCTATGTCACAACTGCTTAACAACTGCCAAAAGCCAGACAGCAACTGTTTCCTGTCAAAATCTGTAACAATTGTTTGTTAAAAATCTATGTCACAACCACAGATTAATTAAAATTTGGAAAGTTCTAGAAAAGTTTGTGAGCTTTTAGTCATCGCCTACACTACAGATGTTATTATTTTTGAAAAAATCTATACCACAACCTTATGACAATTTCCTATGTCACAGTTATTTGACAATTCATCATGTCACAACTGTTTAACAACTGCTAGAAGCCTGACAACAACTGTTTATGTCAAAATCTGTCACAATCATTTTGTCAATAGTCTATGTCACAACTCGCGTCAAAATAAAAAGGGAATTTCGTCAGGCAATATGGAAATAATGATTTTCCCCCTTTTCTCTGCTTCGATTTCGAAAAGAAATCGGGATCTCTTCATTTTCGTCCTGTCTTCGTCACATGACGAGAGGCAGAGGGCGCTCGCACAAAGCAGGAGAGAGCGGGCAGAGAAAGAAGGAAAAGATCGGGGTTTCTTTTCGCTCTGACCGTCGTCAAAATTTAATGAGAAAGTACCCAGCGGAGAAAAAGACCCGAGGTTTGGAAATGCTTTTCGTCGCGGAGAAGCAACTGCTTAGCGACTGCTGAAAGCCTGGCGACTCAGAGATGCAATAAGTTCAAATCTTTACTGATTAATTAGGCTTAGGAAAGTTCTAGAAAAATGTCACAATTGCTTAACAACTGTTGAAAGCCTGGGAGCAACTGTTTTATGTGATCACTCTGTTACTTCAATGCCACATGAAAAACATAAGAAAAAGGGCGGAGTCTATGAAACAGCGATGCCTGAAGAGCTTTATTTAACAAGGAAAAATTTTAGGAAATGTCATTTTCTACGAAAATATAATTTTTATCAGAGTTGATATATTATGTCAAACATTGTGTTCCGTCAAATTGGAGTGCCTGAAATTATCAACAACCCTAAATTTAAACATCAGACGCACAAGGTTCAGTACTACGTTAATATTGATGAAGATTGTGAGGACTACGAAGATCAATTAATTCGTCTTGTGAATGAGAATGTGGCTCAAGCGATTAAAGAAAGCGAAGAAGAAGGGGAGATGGTCTACAAAATTGCTGCAGCGATCCATTCCGATCGGCTGGTTGATGGAATTTTCACAGGTTTTTTACCAACGGTTGACTTTCAGGCAGAGAGGCTGCTGACAAAGTTCTCCAAAGTGCAGCAAAGTGCCAACACACCGTCCATCATCGGGGAACCATTCACGCTTGATATTTCAACTGTCAGAGGAAAAACTGGAGGAAGAAGACCACAAGGTGAATCACAGCTCAATTCAAAAACAGGCGTTTTTGAAATCAGAAACACAGGATCTGACTGCTTTATCCTAGCGTCACTGGTTGCCTTTATGAAAATTGCTTATTCAGGCAGGAAGCAGTCGGAATGGGCCTACAGGATTGCCAATCAAACTCCTTCGGCAAAACAAAAGTATATTGAAGTGCTAGCTGGGTGGTGCACTTCAATCCTAAAAAATTCAAAATGCACCATAAACCAGATTGCGCCTGTGGTTGAACGTTACTTGGAGTTGGAATATCCTCAATACAAGCCAATTAGAATTGTGGTGTTTGCAACAAGAAACTTCAATGATGACTGGTTATATCCTTTGGACAAACATGTTAACGGCAGGACGTATCTACCTATATATTACAATAATAACCATTTCGACGCAATTTGGTACACGAAGCGCTTCTTTCAATATAAGCATCAGTGCTATATTTGCCATGTTGCCTATTCTGACAAGTTACAGCATAGTAGGAAGTGTTTGCATAAATGTCACTTGTGTGGCAGAGTAGGGCCCGATTTCCCATGCAAATTTGAAGATGTTCAATACTGTGCCAATTGTTCGACCACATTCCCAAACTTTGACTGCTATAATGTACATCAACAGAGAGCATGTCGTCTTTACAAAACGTGTCAAATTTGTGAAAAAAGATATAACACAAAGGAAATACACGAATGCGGCTCAACATATTGTCAAACATGTCACTCGTACCATTCTGCTTCCAGGTCGTGCTTCGTACAACCATTGAAAGCTCCAGCAAAAGCGCCTTCCTATAAGCTTTTTGTGTATGACTTCGAAACGACGCAAACAACTATTGTTGAGAAGGATAAAAAAGCTAAGCATGTAGTAAACTTTTGTGCTGTTAAAACAATGTGCGACGAATGTATGACATCAGGAAGATACGCTGACACAAATTCTTGCGATAGTTGCACGGGTGAATTAAACTACTGGAGCATTCCGGAAGACGAAAACTGCGAACCGTTGAAATACTTCTGGCAATACCTTCGGAGAAACACGGAACCTGGAAAAACGAATATAGCGGTTGGACATTACGCAGGGCGATTCGATATCCCTTTACTGATGGAGGAGATCATATCCGAAAACGAACATTACAATCTACAAATAACTAACGTAGGAAACAAGATTTATTCTCTTGTTATCAAGGGAGGTGGTGAATTTGGATGTATAAAATTTATTGACTCTTATAACCATATCCCTGTACCATTGGAAAAAATGATTGAAACCTTGGATCTAAAAAAGATAGCAAATGACAAGGGAACATTTCCGCACTTGTTCAATCAGGAGCAATTCTACGAATACGTCAACGATGGACTACCACCTATCGAATATTACAACCCGGATTCCATGTTGACAGAAAAAAGAGCAAAATTTTTGGAATGGTACGAAAAACACAAATCAGATGACTTTAATTTCAAAAGAGAGCTTCGCGAATATTGCATCAATGACGTAATGTTATTAGCCCATGCTTTGGTTACCTTCAGACGTCAATCTCGAGAAGCAACCGGATGCCCTACTGATGATATTCTCTACTCGTGTACTACACTTGCGTCAGCATGTATGAGAGATTTTAGAATGACATGTATGCCTAAGGATAGCATTGCCTTAGTGCCTGAAAAAGGAATTGGTAGATATGTCAATCAATCTAAAGTTGCTTTAAAAATGTTACGTTATCTCAAATACAGCAAAGGATATGAACTGCGTTTTCGCGACACACCTGGTGGAGAATACAAGCTTAAAGTCGAACGCGAAGGAAAAATCCATCACTATTTCGTGGATGGATTCGTTGATCGTTCACCAGCTCAAAGTT